TCGACAGATCTTTGCACCAGTACATTAAGGTTCCGCATCTTGACACGTAACTCTTGAGTTACCTTTGTCTATAACGAAGCATTTTGTATTGTTGTCGAGTTAATTTCCCCCCTGCTCGTTCTTTCCATTTTCGTCGTTTTGTTGTTATCCTGCTGTTCCTCGCGAGGTCATCGCCTACGATCCGGTAAGTATCACTGCTCCCGACGCATTGTTTGTATTTCATCGTAACTGACCATATCACAGCCGACCATCGTAAACGGCCTGTGTATCCTATAATTTTATTTGTCCCTTCCTTTTCTTCACAAAACACACACATCACAAAAACATCGCGAGAGAAGATCTATCTGTGCAGCCATCTAAGCTCCTAGACATATCTACTGTCTATACTTGCTTCTGTTTGCCGGATCCGATCTGTTCGATCTTACCCGTCAAGCTTTGTTTGCTTGTCACTAATTTGTACTATACATCTTCGATTTGTATCGGTAAGTTATTTTTCGTCATTTTCCTTTCATTTCTTGTGGCTTTTTATTTTACATCGTTTTGCATATCGTCTTCTTCTTTTGTTTCATTGATTAGTTGTTCTTTACTCAAATTCTTTAACTTTTTGTTTTACGTGCTTTTGCAATATTCTGCTTCCTGTATTCTTTTTCTTTAGAAAACTAAACAACAATACGTCCGACACTAACATAAGTTTGCCATGAACAGGCCCAAGACTGTTATAACGTCACATACCCTTACCTCGACATTTGTCTTCAACCACATACCCTTCCTAACTGCCTTTGCGTGTCACAAGGTCAAATTCGTTCGCTATGTTCGGACACTTCGATCTTCGTGTATTTGCTCTTGGTGAGTGTTTCCTGAAAATTTCTGAATGCATGTAATTAGGTCCATGTTACAAGCACAATACTGACGAATATAAGCGTCAGCAGGTAAACAAGGCCTCCGTGTCAAGACTTCCGCACTGTGGTCTCACATAGACCCGTGACACTGTACAAGATCCACTTGGCGTTTATAGTCGGACTATAAATTGCACGCAGCAGTTATGAATCCCGAAAAGGACTCCAACAAGGACCTTAGCAAGGACCCCAACAAGGACTCTACTCCGGTCAATGCTGACGACACGCCCCAAAAACGCGTTACAATTGTGTTTGTATCAAAGCAGACAGCTGCCGGGCAGTCTGAAGCACCTGGGCCCGCCAACGTCGTCAACCCTGACGATGCTCCGGCCGTGCCTGGTCCATCGGCTGCGGCCTCTGTTGCTGTAACCTCCGTTGCTGAGGCATCGGCTGCTGATGCACATACCGAGGCACCTGCTGGTGCGTCTTCTAAGGCGTTTGTTGCCGAGCCTGCTGAGGCAACGGCCAAGCCCAAGCGCAAGAGAAAGAGCCGGGCCAAGGCCAAGGCAAAGGCGGAAGCCAATGAGGACGGCGGCGGCGACCTAGTCGACGTGACCAACGTGCCCGACCAAGGCAACAGTAATGCCCCTGCCCCAGGCAAAAAGCGCAGAGCTGCGAAGCCGCGCAAGAAGGCTGGCACGACGGCCAATCCTGGAGCCGATGAAGCATCTGCGTCTGCGTCTGCGTCTGCATCAGCGGTGAATAATGATGCCGTCCCCATCGGCGAGAATCAAGAGGTGTCTGCTGCTCCCAAGCGGTCCAAGGGCAAAGGGAAGGCAAAGCAAAAGGCCACAGCGGAGCCCAATCCTGCTGAGCCAATGTCCGTCGAGACCAACCTCACCACCGGCAAAGACAAGGCCAACGACACAGGCAAGGGCAAGGGCAAAGAGAACAGTCCTCCCGTTGTTGGAGCTTTCCCTCCCTTTGGCGCCTTGTTTGGCCAAGGTCACGCGCATTCTGTCGCTGCCTCCGCCAATAATGCACTCGAAGGCATCCCTGGACCCTCCAACCTGGCCCGGCACTTGGCAAACCTCCAGGGTGTGAGCAAAGAAGCCCTGGCAGAGTCGTTTGCACAGTGGTCAGCGCAGACGCTGGAGGCAATTCTCAAGCAGGATGCGAACGGATCCTCGGCCGCCGTGCCTGCTGGGCCCGCCTCTGCTGCGACACCCGTGCTTCGTCACGCACCGCAGCCCATCCCGGTCCAGATCGTCGAGCGCGTCCAGTCCGTCCAGCCCATCGTGCCTGTCGTCGACACTGTTGCGTCTGTCGAGTCTTCTGTGCCTGTTGTGCCTGGCCAGGCAGGCCAGACCGGCCAGCAAGCCCTGACCGGCAAGCCGAGCGAGCCGCCACGTGCGCACGCTACATTCGGGCCGTTTCCTGCCTCGTCGCCGCCAGCTCCCAACCTGGTTCGGCATGCGGCCGTCGAACACCTTCACCCGCCCTTGCCAGAGACGAACACCAATCCTATGCGGACCTTGGACGAAGATGCCGCGTACTACCTGATGACGGGACCGGGTATCATTGAGGAGAACGAGCTCCTGCGCATGCGCGACCGGTTCCACAAGGGCATGGACGGCGGGCCGTACGCGTTTAAGCGCAAGCGGTCGACGGTGGTCGACCCGCTCGGCGACGTGCACCTGACCATCATGGACGGGCCCGACCGCATCCGCCATACGTTCCAGGTGAACTCCACGGTCCTCTCCATGTGCTCCGAGACGTGGCGCCACCTGTTCCACGCGTTCATGTGCTGCAACATGATCGAGCTGCCCTTTGATGCGCAGTTCCAGCACGTGGTCAAGCGCTGCAAGGAAGCCGTCCTGCCGGACATGGGCATCGAAGAGGTCCGTCCCGGCGACTACCTTTTTGCGCGCCGGTTCCTGGGGCACTACCGCGACCCGGTCAATGAGAAGCACATACAGGACACGATGCGTCTGCTAGGGGCGGTGGCCAGAGACGCTGCGACTGCTGGCAGCAGCGGTGCTGGCAGCAGCGGTGCAGGCCAGAGCGGTGTCGTCGAGGACAGTGTCGTTGACAATCATAGCGAGGGTGTCTGTGACAACGATGACAACGACGACGGCAACAACAACGACATGAATGTCGTGGACCGCGCCTTTGACCTCTTTGACGACAGCATCGAGGACACCATCTACTCGGACTCGGTCGCTCGCTTTGGCCGTGCCGAGGAGGATGAGCCCCAGCACTTCAAGGAAGCCCTCGACGTCTACTTGGAGGCCAAGGAGGCGACGGCTCGCCACGAGGCCGAGGCGGCCGCGCGCGACGCAGAGACCCTCGCCGTCATCCGCGAGACATACGACGGGCCTGGCGTCGTCACGTTCCCCTGGCCGGCCGACTTCTTTGCCTACGTCGAGGCGCCGTGGGAGCATCTCTGCTGCGGCAAACACATCTGGTTGCCCCGTGACGAGCAGGAGGCCACGACCGTCCGCGGTCGTGTTGCGTTCGACATCAGCAGCCTGTTCGAGGACAGTGGCAGCATGCTCGATCCGGGCCCCAACCAGAGAAACCTCGTCTGGGCGATGCATGTCCTCTTGGAAGTGGCCCACGGCAACGCCCATGCGTGCCCGACGCGGCTCGACGCAGCGCATCTGGCCATGCTCGGCCGTCTCACGCGTGAGCTGAAGATGGGCGTCGTCATGTACCGCACCCTCCTTCCACTGTACGTGCGCTTCCACCTCCAACACAGAAATGAAATCCAGGACATGTTTGCTGATCTCGCTAAAAAACAAGGTAAGAAAAGGGCCAAGCGCAACGGCAAGGCCAAGACGAAGGGCAAGGCGAAGAAGGACAAAGGCAATGGAAAGGTTGACCCGTCGCCTGCTGGACCATCGTCGTCAAAGTAGTCGTCTGACCAGCTGCGACGTTGGTTCACGGACGCTTTACTTCGGTTGCTTCAGTGTGGTGGGCAGTTGGGACGGGAAGCGTTTGTTTTACATTGGTTTGGCGCGGCTTATAAACTGGCTTGTTATGTACGACAAGGAACATTGGGAGGCTGGAGGAGGGGAATTTGCGGAGATCGAAAAAAGCGAGGAAATCGCGAGAAGGAAGTATCCAGTGAGTTGAGACTGGCTGGAGAAAGTGAAAGGAAAGGGGGATGAGGACGTGTAATGGACTGAGGACTGTGTCTTGTGGTTTGAAGGTATTGTTTGTTTTGTTCTTTTGTTTGTTTTGATAGAGGAGATGATGCTCCGCCGTCCGTCACTTGGACCTTCGTTTGACCTGCTGTCTCGTCAAACGAGGCTGGTTTTTGTCGTCGTTTTCTTGTCAGCAGTTTCTCACTTTTTTGTACGCCGCTGTTTGGGTTTTTTTGTACGTCGTATGCAACATCAAATCTCCACTCTATTCTCTCCTGTTTCCAGTGTGCTTTGTGTTGGTTGTATGAGTGCACACTTAATGATCATAAAATCTCTCCGGCATCCAGAATGCCACTTGTTCCGAATGACAACTCAATATTGTTGACATAACAGCGGCGGACTGTGACTGCCGTTGCCTATGTATGAGCCACTGTCCACGAGCCTCGTCGTCGGCAACCTGTCTGGTATCTCCCCGACAAGCCTCTGTTTGTGCCCGTTGGCCCCTTGCATCTAATCACCACAAGTCTGAGAATGCGCGAGGACCGAAAGAAAGGCGTCCAGGAGAAACGAGTCGTGAAGCAAGGAGTACGACAGTATAGTCAATCAAAATAGCACACATTGACCAAAACGGGCTATCCAGCACAAAGAGCCATTGTTAGCATTGCTTTGTGTTGTTTGTTGGCTGTTGGCTTTGTTGTCCGCCTTGCTTGTGGCGTCTTTGTTGACGTTGGTGGCTCCTATTGTTTGATTTCTTTCAGGGGCAATCCAGGGGCACCAGCTCCACAAAGGCCATTCTCACATCACAATGCGCAGTGAATGTCTGCAAATAGGACCAACATTCTATGAAAGCCTCTTACAATGCGCCAAAGTAACATATAACGCTGTTCACCCCATCCCGTTCGCTTCTTCGCTTGTGAGTAGGACCAAGACATACGCCGATCATTGATCTACAACACAGAACAACAGAGAACAGAACGTCCACCATTTCGCACACACACATACACACACACACACAATGTCCTTCCATCTCGACCAGACAGCCTACACCTTTTTTGAGGTCTCGCCCAGCGCCAGCGCCTACGAGATCGGCAAGGCCTACCGACGCAAGGTGCGGCGGTATCCGGCCAATCGCGTTTGGGACACGCCCATGGGCTCGGCCGCCAAGACGGGGCTGCAGGAAGTCGAGCGGTGGTACGCCCTGATCAGCACGCCAGAGGCGCGGGCAGCATACGACGAGACGCTGGCCGGCAAGTCGTCCCGCGAAGCCGACGGTGTCGTCGACGGAAGCGATGGAGACAACAGTGCGCGCAAAGACGACGTCAACAAGACCAAGAAGGACAGCAACAGCAACGATCTCGAAGTCGATAATAGCACAATTGTCGCCATCAATGACACCAACAACGGCGACACCACTCGCCCGACCATCCAGGACCTCCTCGTGGCCACCGGCAACCCGTATCTCTACGGCACCCTGGCCCGCACCATCCTGGGCCTCAGTGTCCTCTGGCTGGGCATTTTCATCATTGTCTACGGCACGCCCTCCACGTGGCACGTCGTTCGTTGGGTGAGTTCTTCATGTATTTCTCGTTCACCGAGTGCCAGCCCTTTGCCACGCTCGGCCTTGCCACGGACAAGCCACTCACACAGCCCCAGATCCGCGCCGCCTACCACCGCGCCGTGTTAGCCCACCATCCGGACAAACCGGGCGGCGACGCGTCCGCCATGGCGCAGATCAACCGCGCCTACGAGGCCCTGCGAGACCCCTACCAGCGGTGCCTCCACGAGCGCACGCAGTGGCTGTGCGCGCACCTGCGGCGCCGATCGGAGGCGGAGGCGGATGTGGTGCTGCCCGTGACGACGGCCGACGTGACGGCGGGCTCGCTGCGCACACCACCGGCAGGCCAGGTGGCCGCCTTTGCCAGTCTGCACACTCTGTGGCAGCGCGCCTGAAACGCAATTGCTCGGCTTCTGGAACGACTGGCCGGATGCTGATCGGGGACGACCATGCGAGCATACGGGAGGGCGAGTATAGAGACAAGACGTGACAATCCGTATGCATAGGCTGGACTTGGCATACAGGAATCTATGGGTCGTTGGTATATCGGTATATATTGGTTTTGTATTTTGACTTTGTGTTTTCAGCATGGACATTTATGAGACTTCTGCATTGGCGTTTGGCGTTTTGTCCACCATCTCATTTCTACATTATGTTTGTTTATGACCGGGTATATTTTCTGTACATTGTAATAGCATCCTCACCAGCTAGAGTGCTCGCCCAGTAATGGTACCCTCGTCTCTTAGAGACTGGTGCCGCGTTCTTCCCACGTCCACCGCTGTCCCGGGATGCGGACCCAAGAATTCAGACGAATGCACTGTATCTGGCCTGACAGATGCCGTCGTCGCGGTTGTGGACGACACCGTCGAGCCCGTCATCATGGACGACTCTGATGGCGACGGCGATACTATCGTCGTCGCCCGTCTGCCGCCATCTCCTACTGCGCTGGTGTCCTCGCTGCTGCCCGAGACGGTCCCGGCCGCCCATGTCCGCAACCACCGACCGCCGAAAAACAGCGCCGGCAGCCCCAAGCTGGCCACGATCAAGATCTCTGCATACACAGCCCATACTTCCAAGGCGCCTTCCCGGGCAACAAACGAGGCCGTCGTGCCCTGCAGGAAGAACGCTGCCACAAACCGCCAGCTGTTGGCATGCGCCAAACACGGGCCGGCCCAGACCGGGTAGCTTTCCATCAAAAAGACGCTGCCACCCACCAGCGCGAGGACCATGGCGAGGGCCAGCAGCGTCGGGCCCAGCAACAGGAGCACCGTGCTCGTGCTGGCATAGTTCAAGACGGCTCCGACGACAAAGCTGCCGGCAATGGCGAGTGCCAGCGGGAGCACGACGACGGGCAGGTTGTGCTCGGCCTCGCGGCGCACCGTCGGCCGCGCCTTTTTGTGCGCACGGCGCTCGGCGGGCGTGAGCACGGACAGCCGGCGGTTTTGCTGGGCACGCAGGTGACGGGTCACGGCGAGCGTGAAACGGGCGCCCACGGCACCCAAAACGAGGGTCAACACGCCGGCCACGCCCAGGGCGACGCCCGGCACCAGGCCTGTGAGCGAAAAGGAGTCGGCTTTGGTCGTGGTCGCCGCCGCCGCCACCAGCAACATTGTGGCCGCCAGCTCCGCGGCCGCCGTAGAGGCCACGAGCAGCACCGCCTGCACCACGGCGACCCACACGACCGCCGGCAGCAGCGCCGTCCGCACCAGGTCCACCACGCTGCTGCCCGCGCGCGACCACTGCCACGCGGCAAACGGCGATACTACAAAGACTCCCGTGTCCGTCCACAGCGTCCGGCCGCCGTGGGCCTCGTAGTCGAGGCGTGCGTTGCGCTTCCGCCGGTCGTTGTCCTCGTCGGCGTACACACTGAGGTCCCCGTCGCCACCGCAGCCACCGCCGCAGAGTTGCGTCTTGGTGCGCAGCGTCCAGCGGGTCTCGGGGACAAGCGCAACGAGGGCCAGCCAGGCCAGAAACCCAGCCGTGCCCACAATATAATACATCCACCGCCAGTCGTAGAACGCAGCCAGGAAGGGAGCGGCGGCCGATAGGCTGGCCGTAACCAGGGCCTGGATGGCAAACGAGACAGCCAACACGAGGTGCCGCTGGTGAAGAAACACGAGATCGTGTGCGGCGACGAGCGGCACCAAGGCGTTGACAGTGCCGGCGCCGAGACCGACGAGTGCGCGGGCGGCCACATGCTGTTGGAACGCCGAGGACATGGTGGCCGCGGTGGCAGCTTGGCTTCCGCTGCTGCTGAGCCCTGCCCACAATGCGCCAATCCAGGCACATGCCGATGCTAGTAAGAGGACCGGACGACGGCCAACGGCGACAGACAGCGGAATCTGCACATAGCTGGCCGCGGCCGTTGTCAGCATGGGGACGGTGGTCAACATGTTGATCTGGCTTGTTGAGAAGGGTGTGGTATCGGGGGGTAGGAGCGGGCCCAATATCGTCGTGAGGTTCAAGGATGCGGACGTCGTCGACAAGGTAAAGGTGGCGTTCCGGATCGCAACCGGGTTTACGCCGGCATACTGCAGAGCAAAAATGGGCTCGAGGAGATTGCCGGAAGCAGTTTCGGTAGCGACAGCAAGTGCACCGACTATCATGTTAGCGACCGACAGATAGAATTTTGCCGGGTGAGTCGTATGGGGCCGAACGTACACATGCTCATGACCAAAATAGCCGCCCATTTGCGCCACTCGGGCAGGTTCAACGGGTCCTTGGGGTTGGCCGAGGGGAACTGGATATGTCAGCGAAAGGCCGCAAGGCCACAGGGTATTATTGCATTATTGCATTATTGTATGATTGTGGCGCCTTTGGAACCCACCGGAATCAGCCGCATCCGCCCATGGTCAAACAGCCGCGTCGTGCCCACAGGCAGACGCTGCGCCCGCCGCCGCTTGCGCTGCTGCTCGCTGAACACGGTCTGCTTCGTCGACTTCTCCACCGTCCCAATGAAGTCGTGGTAGTCCTCGCGGGCGTCCTTGGCGGGTCCGGACAGCCGTTTTGGTCGCGTAGGTGTTCCTGCTGTAATGGTGGTCGTGGTCGTTCCCGATCCAAAGGTGGCAACCGTCGTCATCGTCGCCGGTCGGGAGCCGGCTGTTGTCGGTCGAGATGGCTGTCTTTGACCTTGGCCCTGGCTAGCGGGCGCCGTCCTCACCGGACTCAGCAACGGCCAGCTAGTCGACATCTTGTTCGAATGGGATGAGAGACCAGCTCTGGTGATGCTCGGATCGTCTAGATCATAACGGGCATTCGGCAACGAGCGATTTGTGGATCAACCACGAAATATCCGTGATGCCCAGCACCTCGTGCTCTTCGTTGAGTCGGTCCTTGTGGAGAGGAAGCAAGAGGACGACGCGAACTTTACACAATTGTCTACGATTATCAGGGGTTCGTGCGTTTATGAGAGGGGGGCCGAGAAAATGGCTCCGGGGGCGACAGAATGCCTCCCTCAGTTCGTTCCATCCATGGACTTCCATGTCAGGACACCAATTGCGGCAGCAGCACATCCGATCAACACCGCCACGCACGCTCGTGATCCAAAAAGCCATTTGCTAGGGAAGGAAACAACAGCAATGCAGGGGTTGTAGGGGGCTGCAGAGGAACGGAGCGAGAAGTCATGACAAAGTTCGATGTCATACACTCTAGCGTCGATGACAATCCAGGAGTATGCAAGTGAATCGACACGATTGTGGGATGGTGGCGCGAGCACGCCCACGTTTTGGCCGAACATCAATGCTTGGCTGTGGTCGACCAGGTCGGCGGAGGTGGAAGTCTCACGGCAACGAGTGCAGAAGTCGGCATGGTGTTGTGTCAGCGGTGGTGCTGCAGTAAGGTATGGTGTGACTGCTTGAAGATAACGCTGCTCGCTGCATTGGCAGGATTTGCAGATCAAACACTGATTGATGCCATCCAGTTCCGCTTGGAGGGTGACTGGTAGACAACGGAATATGAAAGAAAGGGAACAAAAGAGCAGACATGAAACAAACGCACGGGCAAATCTTTGTTGGCGTGTTTGGCCTCTTTTGCGAGGTGCTCCGTACTTCGTATTTTTTTTTTACGGACATCGACTGTAATTCTGTTCTCAAAATGCAAAATTTATGTCGGAAAACGTGAGACGAACACCATGATGTCTGCGTGAATTTGTATTTGCAAGTACGACGTGCTTGGCGATGCCTCCTCGAAATGCCTAGGAATTATTTCGTCGCTCAAGCAAAATCCTCTCTCCACTAATATTTGATGCTTTTGCGCCACCCCAACGATACATCGAGCAATACTGTCTATAGCCAGAGACCTCTGTAGGCCGTTTGATAAACACCCTGTCGCATGTTAGGACATGAATATTTGAAAGGTTTAGAGAAAAGTCACGTACATACCATTTGCCGTTTTGAAGGGACGCATAATAAACATCGTGTCGTATTGTTAACAGTTCGTCCTTTGTCAGGTCCTTGGTGTAATTGAAGTCATAAATGAAACAGCCCTTGACAGGCTTTAGAGAGTCGCATCGTGGCAAAAAATGCGCCTCGTCGTGCGGTGTATCTTGGAGGCAGTTGTTGAAGGGTCGGTGAAGAACTTGGGAGGCAAAAATACGCCCAAATGCTATAACTCTTGCGCCTGGTGCGCCATCAATGTCGGTAACGACGGCTCTGATGATCGCACGATAAGGCTCTCTGGGCGTCTGGTGTAATTACAGATTAGTTACTGTATGGCATACGATAAGTGACAAAAGCAACAAAACCCTACCAAACTGCATTGTGGAGCTGCTTCAACAGACTGCTCGACGGTGCCGCCCATCTCGTATCGCGATTAGGAAACTCGACACGGAGTACGCCGTACTGACGAAGCATCATCCCCGACGATTGCTATGGGCGGGGTAGATGGATGAGGGCCCGTCTAGCAAACAATGACGGATAAATAAATACTCCAAAAGGACTGTATGCAATACCACACAAATGGTCCGACATGTTGTTAATCGTCGTCCATGTTCTGAAACATGGTTTGGCAACGGGGGCCCAACGAACCAACAAGGGACTGTCGCAGGATTGTGCTAATGTGAATGAACGATAGGAACTCTGTTAAGCGCAGTCACACATCACGGTACATGACAGGATGGATTTTGCATCGCAGAAAGACCGGAAGAACTCTATGTAGATTCCGTCGTATTGGGCAGGTAGAGACGACGAGGCCGGCTTAGGGACAAAGGTCTGTGCCAATCTACTCTCGGCATCTTGTCAACAAAGAGATACAAACGACATGGATTTGCTAAGATACATGATAACTACTCCGAAGAGGCGAAGAAAGCCGTGACAGGCCGGTCCCAGAAAACCCAAACGGGAACATATCGTAACAAACATTATATGGAGAGTTTGCCGACCAAAGTAGTCTCCGACTCCATCGTCTAGCTGCCGAAGTCGTGTCATTAAACGTCGACATCAACAGCACCGTCGTGCCCATCTCCCCCTCTATTGTCGCTTGTCGCCGCCCACCAGGCGCGCCACCAGCACGTACAGAAACACCAACCCGCCAAACACATAGAGCTTGTTCTGCGCCAGCCAGCCCTGGCCGGCGCCGCGCCCTTGCCGCACGGCCTCGACGACGGCCTGTGCCTGCGTACCACTACCTGCTGCACCGGTGCCCGCGCCACCGGCACCGGCAGCCGGCACGCCTAGCTGCTTGCCACAGCTGGCGCCGTTGGCGCCTCCCTGTATTGACGGACCGGTCTTGGCGGACGACTGTGCGGACGATGACGACGACGATGACGATGTTGCTGTGGAAGAGGATGCCGCCGGCGCTGCTGCAGGTTTCGGCGGCGCCGTAATCTGCCCCGTCGCCATGTCCACATGCTGCTCCTTCATCCACGCCCAGTTGGCCTTGTCCAGGTCGGGCCATTCGGTGCGGAACTTGGCGCCGCCATCGCCCGCCTTGACCTGCACTTTCGCCTTGGTGTTGGCGCCCGTGTACGTGCCGCCGCCCGTCGAGTTCCACCACCGCGAGCGTGCTGCATGGAACTTGCGCTCGGCGGACGTGGCCGACACGGAGCCCGTGGTCATTTCCTCGGACGTCATAAACGACAGCAGGCCAATCAGAATCGTGGAGACCTCCCAGGCCGGGTTGAAGGAGCGCGGGTGGAAGTCGGAGATGGAGAGGCAGAGGCGGGTTGAAGGTTGGAAGCGGCCGGAGGGAGTGTGCATGCGGATGGCGGGTGGCGCAAAGGGGTAGTCGGGCGGGAACATGAGGGTGCCCCAGTACTGGCCGCCGTGGTAGGGGGTATCTTCGGGGCCGGTGATGATGTAGTGCCACCTAGACGAGTCGTTAGTACATTCAATCAATCGTCGTCGTAGACCGGGCCAGAACGTCGACTTACTCAAGGATGTTGCTATCCGATGGGCGGGCCGTGATGTATGGCGGCGGATTCTCCGAAATGGTCTTGTACTCGCGCGTCAACTGTGGCATGTTAGTAATGAGGAGCATCATATGGAAACGATGGAAATGCAAAGGGAAAGCGAGGTCGGGATGCTAGGGGTCGCATTGGGGTCGCCAAAAATGGCACGTACGCGCTTCTGAGCGGCCCGGCTGGCCATGGCGTAGTCGGGACCGGGAGTCTACCAGTCTATGGAGTCGCAAAGAAGTATCCAAAGACACACGGGTCGGCCGATGGGGTAGGACCGGGAGGCCGGGGTGTCGTGCGATAAGGGGCGATCACCTGTGACGAGGATCCGAAAACGAGGCCGAATAATGGGAGAGAAGAATGGTCGTATGTCGTGATACGCAAGACGCTGGCACACAAATGGAAATTGCAAAAAGTTCAGTCGTGAAAGAAACAGAATCGAAAACAAGAATGGCGGACAATTTCGGAGGAGCGTTGATGTGTTGGTTGTGAGGAGAACGGATAAGGTTCGAAACAAGTCGCTAGGCTGAGAAGGCAAAGAGGCGAGAAAGTAAGATTCCAGCATACAACGAATACATCGTAATCATGCGGATGGCCGACTGGTCCAAAGAGTGACCCGGCCCCAGAACAGCGTGCCGATCGCCGAGCCTTGCACGTGGACAGTCACGTGTAGATGACTCTTGGCCAAGATAGGGGGCCTCCAGGGGGTGGGGCTAACGTAGAACCCCTGGGCTTACTCCGTGGAAAACGGGAGACTTTGGGCGAGACGCGACGTGCGAGACTCGAACTTCTGCCCAGACCACTGCCAAGCCTCCAGCGCCTGTCCGTTGTCCCCTAAATACAGGCGACACAGGGCGCCACAGGCCACTCACAGCCGTGCATCCGCGTTCCGGTCCACTAAATTGTGACGACTCCGTGTCCAAGACGCTAAGCCTCTGAACAGTGTGTGCGCTATTGCCTCCTTCGCTTTGTATCGTTGGAAGCGCTGCCGTGGCCAGACGAGCAGAAACGTCCCCAATTCCTCGACGTCCTTCCCATCACGATACCGGCCGTTTTTGCGTTTGTTTGTGCATCTTGGTCGCATCTTGCTGCCATGGCCGCCTGAGCAAGCTCCCCTATCTTTTCCTGGCTTGCTGGCGCTCTTTCCGCCTGCGTCTTACGTTCGTTCTTGGCCATTTCCGTCTCAGCCGCAGGTCCGTCGACCTCGAAACAGAGAACTTGCGGAGACTTCAAAGCATTGTTTCGCATCTGGACCAACGATTTCTATAGCTTTTCTGGACCTAGTTGCTTCACGAGGGGTATGGGCAGCCACTGTTGACACGACAGACGACATATTGATGTCTTTTCGCTCTTACATCACTTCCACTCGTTGACCCTTGTTCCTCGACCACGGAGTTTCCCCTGACGACAACCTTGCGCACTTCTCAGCTCTTTTCAATGTTTCTACTTTCCTAGCTCCCATCACGACCTCTCCGAACTACTCCGGGACCGGCCTTGACGGCCCCTTGTTACACACACCCCTGGGCCCGCCGAAATGCCGTCTCCTGCGGCGGCCGACAATGGCCAACATGGCCCGCCCATCCCGACCTATGACGAAGCCGTCTCTGCCCACGGCAACGGCGGCATCCTTCCTTCGCCTTCCAACTTCGATCCACTGTCCCCCATGGGCGAGGCCTTTTACGCCCCCGAAAGCGAGAGCCGCTCTCTCCTGAGACGATCCCACCAGCGCAACGGCTCCACTGCCACCAACGGCAGCAGCCGTCGACGACCACGAAACGGACATACCAGTAGTGGTGGCTACCGGCCACCCACCGTCGAGACTGACGACGAAAACAGCACGTGGAGCTCGAGCGACGAGGACCATGGCGGCGGCGACGACAGCGACGATGCCGACGATGTCGACGCCGAGGCCGCGCACGTCCGCCGCGAGATACTGGAGCTCGACATGGACGACCCGCTGGCCGCCAATGGCAGTGGGAGCGGCAGCAGCCGACGGCGCGGCGGGTTCTCGCTATCGCTACCCAAATGGGCGTGGAAGTGGCGCCTGTCGATGCCGAGAATACGAATACAGCTGCCCAACGGGCCGTCCGATGTGGACGAGAACAGCCGAGGCGGCGTCGGCGGTGTCGGTGGTTTTGCCAGCCGGTTCGGACGGCTGGCAGGCTTTACGCGGCTCAGCGGGACCGACGCCAACGAGGAAACGGCCGGTGGTCAGGCGGGCGAAGCTGGCGGTGGCGGTGGTACTGGTGCAGGACGCACCAGAAGCTGGCATGGCTGGCGCCGCCCAGAGTGGATGCAGAAGATCAACGTCGCCGTAGCCATTGTGGTCTTTGCGCGCCTGCTGGCCGTGTTCCTCATCCTGGGCTTCGTCTACCTCCTCTTTATGAGCGACCTCTTCACCTCCATCTCCCGCCGCCTCGGCAGCCAGGTCTTTGACCCTGAAAGCATACGCATGCACATCCAAATGACCGTCAACCCGGGCAACATGCGCGACATGGCCAAGCATTTCACGAGCTACGCCCACATGGCCGGCACCGAGGGCGACTTTGCTCTCGCCATTGACGTCAAAAACTTGTTCCAAAAACACGGGCTCGAAGACGTCACCGTCGACGAGTACTACGTCTACCTCAACTACCCGCGCAAAGATGGCCGTGCCGTCGAGCTACTGGACGGAAAGGGCAAGGCCACCTGGTCGGCCAAGCTCGAGGAGGAAGAGGTTGGTAGCGAAACGGCAGGCCACCAAACATATGTGTTCCATGGCCTGTCCAAGGCGGGCGACGTGCGCGGACCCCTCGTCTACGCCAACTACGGTTCGCGAGACGACTTCCAAAAGCTCAAGGACATGGGCATCAACACCAAGGGCGCCATTGCGCTCGTGCGCTACTACGGCACGCAGAGCGACCGCGCCCTCAAGGTCAAGGCCGCCGAACTTGCCGGGTTTGCGGGCTGCCTAATCTACAGCGATCCAGCCGACGACGGCTTCAAGCACGGCGATGTTGCGCCCAAGGGCCGCTATATGCCCGCGGACGGCGTGCAGCGCGGGTCCGTCTCACTCATGAGCTACGTCATTGGCGACGTCCTGACGCCCGGCTGGGAGAGCAAGAAGGGCCTGCCGCGCATGTCCCCGGACAAGTCGCCAGGCCTTGTTAAGATCCCGAGTCTGCCGCTTGCCTGGCGCGACGCGCAGGTTCTGTTGCAGCATCTCAAGGGCCGCGGCCAGCGCGTGCCCTCCAAAGACTGGGAGGGCGGCGTGCCCGACATCGACGAGTGGTGGACGGGCAACGGCGGCGGCGACAGCCCGGACAATGGCGGCATGGCCTCGCCCGTGGTACGCCTCAAGAACGAGCAGGACGAGGAGACCGAGCAGCCCATCTGGAACGTCTACGGCCGTATCCTCGGCATCGAGCAGAGCGCCAAGAAGATTATCATTGGCAACCACCGCGACTCCTGGACGTTTGGCGCCACCGACCCGCACTCGGGCACCGCCGTCATGCTCGAGCTGGTACGCATCTTTGGCGATCTGCTGGAGCGCGGCTGGCGGCCCCTGCGCACCATCGAGTTCATGTCCTGGGACGCCGAGGAGTACAACCTGATCGGCTCCACCGAATACGTCGAGCGCAATCTGGACCTGCTGCGCCGCGACGGTCTGGCCTACATCAATTTGGACACGGCCGTCACGGGCGGCGAATTCCACGCCGCCGGCTCGCCCGTCTTCTCCAAACTGCTCAGCCAAATCATGAAGCGCGTCAGCGACCCGCACGTCAACGCCACGCTGCATGATCTCTGGGACCAGAACGGCAGCAGCCTCGAAGTCCTGGGCGCCGGCTCCGACTACGTCGCCTTCCAAGACCTGGCTGGCATGTCCTCCCTCGACCTGCACTTTGACGGCCCCGGCTACCCGGCCCACAGCAGCTACGACAATTTCGCCTGGATGGACCACGTCGGCGACCCGGGCTTTGTCTACCACGGCCTCCTTGCCCAGCTGGCCGGTCTCATGCTCATTGAGCTGTGCGACCGCCCCATTATGCCGTTTGACATGGTCACCTACGGCAGCGCCCTAGAACGGTGGGTCAAGGAGCTCGTCACGTGGCTCGATTCGGAGGTCAGCAAGGCCAACAAGGCCGCCGGCGCCGACAAGTCGAAGCAGGCCAAAATCAGCACAGAGCCGCTGCAGTTTGCCGCGCAGGTGGTCGTCAACGCCATGCGCGACTTTGAGCGCTGGGATCTCAAGTGGGAGAGCAATGTGCTTGCCGCCGGTGGCTGGGAGGCACCCGGGCTAGGCCAGCAGCGCGCCGAGTACGTCAGCCGCATGGCGCGCTTTGAAACCGATCTCCTCGACCTCGAAAACGGCGGTGGTGTGCGTATATCCCTCCTTGCTTAAATCTGCAACATGATCCATCCCCTCCTTTTTTTTGTCACTCACTAACACGGTATACTCTTTAGATTCCGAACCGCACACAGTTCAAGCATGTCGTGTTTGGCCCACGCCTATGGTCCAGCTACGACGGCGACCTCTTCCCGGCCGTGCGCGATCTCGTCGAGGCCGGCGAGTGGGACCAGGCCAACAAGACAATTGCCAAGATCGCACAAATCTTCCAGACGGCCGCGGCGCACCTGATTGAGTAAACGTAGATTGGCAAGAGTACCTGCCCACAACCTCTGTACACACACCTTTTTTTTTTCTTTTGGGGAGGGGCATGGCGGGTTTCCTCGTTGCCACCCTGCTCTAGTTTTTACATCTCTGCATTGCCACGGCGTTCCAATTTTGCTTCTGGGTCTTTTGTCATTTCGTCTTTCTTGTGTGTCTTTTTAACAATCGACATTATTACACTTCCCTGAGCTCCCCGTCTTCTGTATCTTTCATCCGTATCTCATTTGTCTCCACGATGATTTGCATTAATCGTCATTTCCGCGAGTGTACATATCCTCGGTGAATATGAATTTGCATATTGGTCTTAATGATCCTTGTCATATGTGCCGTGAAAAATAAATGACTTTGCTCGCAACACTTCCAAATGAAGGTGCGTAGATATAAAACACGCGAGGCGGCTTTTCATAGATACAGCTTTTCTAGTCTTCACACGCACCAATGCAGGGAAACTGAACACAAATAATAAAAAGGTAATAGGGAAATAAGATCTGGATGTCAACTCGCAAAACAAAAACAACAACAATTAAAACGAGACACAAAAAATACAGCACTACCTAGCATCTACTCCCCGCGCATTAGCACTCTCCCTCATTTACTTGGGCGTCAGCACAATGCCTTCGTACTCCTTGCTACGGATCAGCTCCAGCGTATGGTGGAAGTGCTTCTTGCTCGCCTCCACCGACGCCGACTCCTGCTGGTTGCTTGCCAGGTTCGAGTGGATCAGCTCAATCAGTCCGTTCAGATACTTGGTCGTCACCTGTCGAAGCGTTAGCACGTAAATGATAGCACGGAGCGGGGGAACGCGCTTGCGCCTACAAGCACACTGACGCCTGACTTACCGATTCGTTCTGCTGGTCAAAGTAGTACACATAGCGGTCCAGGATCTCCACAAACAACTCGATGGACGTCGCCGGCTCCATGCACGAGTCCGCCACACGCAGTGCCCGCTGCAGACACTCGAGCACGCGCTTGCCGTCCCGGTACAGGTCGGCGTTGCTCTCTTCCGTCTCGCCATTGGCCGCAATCGGCGTCGCCCACCACAGGTGGCTAGCCAGATATACGGCGCGGCACTGATCGGGCTTCCGCAGCAGCTTGCTGGCATGCTGCGCACACTTGGTGATGAGGGTGTCAAAGTTTTCGCGGCCAAAGTTGCGCGTCTGGTGCAGCGTGCTGGCGACGGCGCTCACGGCCTGGAACTGGGCCTTGGAGTCAGAGATGGCCTCCTCATACACAGTAAAGGCCTGCGCAAAGAACTCGTACGCGACCTCCTCGAAGCCGACCAGGTCGGCCGTCTGGCCGCATACGCAGAACAGGCGCAGCGCGAGTTCGGCACCGCCGCTACTGCCACCACCCGACGTGTTGCCATTCGTCGCCCGCTGGTAAAGTGTGGACACGGCCGAGTGCATGAACTTGAACAGCGACGACGACTGCGACTCCCAGTTGTCGTCGTAGTGTTCGCGTGCCTTGAAGCGGCGGGCCAGCTTCATAGCCGCCGTGATAATGGGAGGCGTGGTGATGCGGATGCGCTCGTTGCCGTCAGAGTAGGCTTTGCGCGCCAGCTGCAAGAGGCGGAACTGGGTGTCGTTGTTTTCGGCGTGCAGTAGGTGCACAATGCGAGCTAGCCAGCCCTGCTCCTCGAGCGTCTCGTCGGTCTCGTATGGGCGGCCACGCTGGGGGCCCTGGGATGCCGGTGAGGCCTCGACAATCAACACCTTGACCACATCAAGCACGTTTGTTAATTGCTCGGGTGTTTCGATGCGTGTCTGGTTTCTAAGCAGACTACGGGCAACCTCGCCGGCGACGGCCCGCTTGGTCTGGTAGATCTGCGACTGCAGCAGAGGAACATAGGTCGGCAGAGCCAGGGCTGTGAAAATAGAGACGTAGTGCTTGATCGGAGCCTGCAGAAGAGCCAGTAGGCTTTGTTGCGCGGCGGCGCCGTGGAAGTCAGGGTTGTTGGTGTTCTCCTGCACCTTTTGTGCCGCAAAGTCCAGGATCTGGTCGACGTAGTCGAGGCGGCTCGGGTATACGTTGAGGGCAAGGTTGGTGAGCGACACAAGGAGCGCGATCGTGTCGTGGATCGGCAGATGTTGGGCGTAGACAAGCTGCTTGACCTGGCCGAAGAAGACCTCGTACAAGTGGATGTCATCGCCAATACCACGCGAGGCAGCGGCGTCACCTTCCGTTGATGGCACACTCCCTTCTGCCGCGCCGTCGTTGTCACGGCCGTTGACCGCCGTAGTCTCCGTCTCCGCTGTTGCGTCTGTAGCGAGGGTCTCGGTCGTTGATTGTGCGTCCGCGTCTTTTGTGTCGTCCTTGCCGTCCTTGTTGTCTGCCTCTGCTGCAGGCGTTTCAGAGCTCGACCCGTTGGCATCACCGGTTGCAGGCTTTGCAGCTGCTGGGACTCCGTCCGTCTCGGCCTCCTTACCACCCAATTTTGTCTTGTTTAGCAGGGCCACAAGGGCGTCCTCTTCCATTTTCTCGCGATTTTCGTCGGGCCGGTTCTGGGCCTCGCGTTCGGCATAGTTAGACAGGCGGTCCATCAGGCCGACGACGATGGCCTTCACATTGACGTGCGGGTTAAGTTTAGAGACAGCGGCGAGGAACTGGTCGAGGGTGTGCAAGTGGAACTCGTCGGGGAAGACCTGGGTGATGACTTCCAGCAGGTACTCCTGGGCAAGCACGTCGCGGCACTGGACGACCTGCTCGAGCAAAGGTGCCAAAATGGTGTTCTTGTAGGTTTCGAGGTCGACGAGCTGGCTGAGGCGCACAATGTTGGTGCCGACGAGCAGCTGCAGCTCCTTGCGTTCCTGTGTGCGTTGCTCGCGCTCGCGGGAGTGTCCTTGGTGCTGCAGCCGGACCCAAAGCTTGTTCATCTCGACAAAGTTGGTGAGGATAAAGCTGATAGAGTCCTGCAGGTTGCCCTCTGGTCCGTCGCTGTCGGTGGTGGGCAGGTAGTCACGCGCCTGGCCGGAGAGGTAGTAGCGCAAGAACAAGCCGCGTATTGGGTGCTGGACGCCGCGGCTCATGTCCATCATATCCTTCATGAGTTCCTTGACGGGGGCGCCTTCGACGGCCATGTAAGCAGTGCCGACGGTGATCATAAGATAGAGGCGGGGAATGATATTGCCGGCGTATTGGACAAGCTCGTAGAGGTCCGCCAGGTGGTTAACGGGGTGGTTTTCGCGCAGGTGGACAGACAGGTAGCGTAGGGCGTCGAAGACGGCCATGTAGAGCTCGTAGTATTGCTTGGGGCCAAGGCTGCTCGTACGCAGCTCCGAGACGAGGGTGGAGCTGGAGAGAAAGATTACGAGTCAGCAGAGAAAACGGACCGCATCGACGGGATCTATCTAGTGAAAAGTCATCGTACCAGCACTTAAGGGCGTCCATCAGCTTGCCAGGCGTGTCGAGACATTTGCGCATCAGCACCGTCTGTTGGCGCACAGCGATGAGGGCATCCTCGAGTAACCGGGCCTGATCTTCGGCTACCACCGGCACGGCCATTGTTGTCGGTCAGGGGAAGAAGTGATGCCGAAGGTCGTTCGTCCAGCCGATGGGACGGGGAGGGAGGTTAACGTCACCGCCGATACTCGACGCGACAGGGAATGAGGAACCTTGAGAGAGTGAAAAAGGGGATGGCTGCAGACCGGGGCTGGGTGGCGATTGGGGATGCGCGGCTGTCGTCGAGGTGCGCCGGGGTAGAGAGGGCGTCTGAACGACAAAATGCAGTTGCGTCGATATTCGATTGTCGATTGCCGGATCGATGGTCGTCAAGGTTCTACAGAAGCATGGCAGGAGACGCAATGGGCGGAAAAGGCAACCAGCTTTGGGTGGGTACAGAGGCAAGATGACAACGGAAGAGACGGGGCGCTCCACGAATGGTGGCTGGGTTAGCGAGAAGGTTGCGTAGTGCGGACAGTGCCATACAACGCCCTAACGCTAGAGAGGTAAACAGACGAGGCGGAACAATTACGTCAAATGCAAATTAAATACGAAGCAGTAAATTAGGCATGCTAGTCTCAATTCTCAATTGGAAAGAACATTTGTTCGCAAGGAAAGGAAGGAAGGACGCTGCGTCGGAGTCTGCAGCGGAAGGAGTCGTCCATCTTCAGCGGGCTGTCTGTCGTAAGACCTGCTTCCTGCGGAGCTCACCAGTAGTTGGAATCAAAGCTGGGATAATTGGCACGGTCCTGACGAGGGGCTACGTCACGTGTGAACCAGGCAGCTGTCATTTGAGCCAATCGCATGTCGCTCCCTGTTATGTGGAAACCAACAAGTCAAAGATGACAGCAGAGCTAGCATCGCAATATCACAGCCTTGAATCACAACAATATAAATAGGTACAGCTTTCAGATGAAATTTAGTGTTTTTGGAGCCTGGTTTACTATTACTATTATTTCTAATGATTATATGTTCATAATTCAAACCAATTGTATTGCATTAAAGATGTTAAAAAAATCAATGTATTTAGTTGAAAAACATGTCGTGTCCCATCATTGGTGTTATTGTCGTGATAATATGATTTGCGTTTATTGAAATCTAAAGTACTACCCATAATCATATCAAACTGCCAACTTATACTGACTCATCTTCATAACTTGACTGCAACACATATCGGACATCAATTACATCCTGAACCATTCGTGCGCCAGTACATCTTTCGCACTAATGCGCTTCTCAGGCTCGTACTGGAGCAGCTTGTAAAGCAGATCTGCCATCAGTTTCTGCTCCGCCTCGGGTGTCATCAAGATTGTCCGCTGTGATTCGTGACCGGGTTCCCGTACAATGGTTCTAGGCCTGCTGAGAATGAACTCGAGAGAATATGTCTCATTCCCGCCATGTCTAACCCACTTCCCTTGGTCATCGTAGAACTCCGCCCGACGATCCCAAGTATCCCACCACTGTGAAGGAAGCTTTCCGAAGAACCGTACCATTTCGGCCACGAGCTCGTCCGGGTCGTCGATCATGTAAAAGAGTGCCATCTGCTGTCTGATCGCATAGAGTGTACACCCGAGAGCCCAAAGGTCACAGGCTGGACCGATAGTAACTCGTCCTTCTTCTAGATCATCGTTCGTAGTATCGTCTCCGTCGTTCTCTTCTTCGCCATCCTCGTCGTCCGCTCCGTAGTCGTTCTTCTCGTCCTGAAGCATCTGTAGAAGCAGCTCTGGCGAAAGGTACGACTCGGGAATACAAGAAAATTTAGGGGGGGTTGAGACGCGGAAGGCCTCGCCAAAGTCAACGACGCAGATCTGGTCGGTCAGGTACTCACCCCCTAGGCGGAAGAGGTCTATTGCATATGTAAGATACCGTGGCGATGAGAGTGGGAGGCCGTCGCCCGACTCTGTCAGTACTTCAACCAATTTTGGCTCGTCAAAGATTGACAGGAAGTTATTTTCGGGTAGATGATTAATGTTGGTCAGCTTGACTAATATATTTGCCGGTCGGAAGTCTAGAAGAACGGAGTCAGTTAGGCGTATGTACTTTGACAATCCTATTTAAAGATCTTTAGGTAAAGAAAGTTGTCTAACCTCCGTGGCAGATACCGTTCATGTGTAGATAGTTCATGGCCTTTGCAGCCTGGTAGGCCATTCCCCGGAGAACAGGGCCGGGTTCCTCTTTCAAGTGCGTCCATATTCTAGGCGAGACGCAAGGCCCGTAGACAGGAAGAACTATACACTGGTGTGTTCCGTTGGGCCCTTTAAGTGAAAAGGTATGTAGTGGAAAAGAGATGTGTTCGGCACCGGGTGCAGATCGATCCAGGTCCGCCATGATCGTTAGGTCTGGGATGGCTTCCGGCTTGACCCTGGCAACAGTGACCTTGATAGCGACGTATCTAGATGAATCGTCGCACGTGTCTCGACAAAGCCACACAGTGCCGTAGCCCCCGTGGCCAAGCTTTCGAAGGACACGATACCGCCCAGAGGGACCGAGGGTGTCACCAAGATGGATCGGATGGAAACCGCCCTCTTTGTATCTTTCCAAGGGTTCAAGGTCCGTGTTGGGTCCTTTCAGACATGTACCGCTTGTCGTAACTGGTCCATGGCTGAGAAAGTTCACACTGAAGCCAACGGACGTACTGCGTGGATTGTCCATATCGACGGATAGCGAACTGGGACGTCTTGCTTGAAGGGATAGCAAACCGAGACGTCTTGCTCGAAGAGTTTGTCACGCTGTGCCAAACTACTAATGTTGCAGCACAATGGTGGCTTAGTGTAGCGGTCAGGTTCCTATAGCAAATGGTTCGCAGTCACGTGTGCAAAATTCTCGTTGGTGTGGTACAATGTAGTCGCTGAAATACAAAACATGTTGTGAAAATATCAACGCACAAAAGTGCATTCCGGATCTAATTACGGCAGCAGCAAATTTAGTTCTCCCCTATCTACACAATTTTCCGGCTACATAACAAATATCGTCATCATGCCCCTCTCTCCGAGCGACGAAGTTAAGCGTCGGGTCGGCTCTGGTACCACCGACGATCCCATGGTACATGCGATGATATCTCATTTGAATGTCTCGATCAATCCGCTCACTATTCTAGATCATGTGGCTTGTCGAACCCCCTAGTGATCAGGGACGCACTGCAAGCAATGAGGAGGTTGCCAGAGAGCTTGGCAGCCTCGGCCACACTCATATTTGCATTCGGTACGTATCCTGACGGCAGTGTAGCAATATCTTTATCGTATTTCATTTTTACTTTCCTGTTTCATTCGGCACGGCTTACGATTGCGGCTATGTATCCCATAGGTCCTGCGACCACAGCACTACTAGAATCTCAGAGACTACGCGCAGAGGCCGCCGCTATCGCCGAGTTCATACAGACAATCACATAACCGTATTCTGTGGCACGAATAATACCGCCAACTAGCAGGGCGACGTATTTCTCGTTATGCAGCCAGACGGTCGTTGGAGGATCATGTATGACTACGAACGCCGTAGTTACAATTGGGTTGGCGTTAATTTGCATCCGTATCCGTAGATCGTGGAGTTGGGAAACTTTGAGGCGTTCGACGGTACATACTTAAGGAAAAGGTGTAGGAAATGATGAATACCAAACAGCAATACAAACAGCAGTCATTATGTACGAGAGAAAACTCAATAACACCATAACAGCAAGAGCCATCAAACTTCTTCTTTCACCGTGACCGATGCCATGACCTTGCTTTTGCCTAGGCCTACATCGGACACACCGTCACTCGGCTCCATGGTCTCGACGGTCGTTGTGGTCCGGCTTAGTGTCCCGTCGATGCTGCCAATGGTGGTCGAGCGTGGCAGACGAGGGCGATTCAGAGCTGTGGTGCTACCGACCGACGACTCTCCAGAGGACTCACCCGAGGAGCCAGGTGTCTTGGGGCTGACGTCGTTGCTGCTGCCGACGAATGTCGTCGACGTCAGCCCGTCCTCCTTGGCAATCCGGCCCGACGTCCATTGCCGGAACTTCTTGCCAAACACAAAAAAGACGGGGATGAACATGGCCATGACAAACAGTACGGCCACATAGACGCCAAACACAAAGAGGTAGCCGCGCTGCTGCACCCAGGAGCTGGCGTGAGACGAGAAGCCGAAGCTAATGACAGTGCGCAGCGTGTTGACATTGACCAGGACGGGGCCGGGCCACTGCGGATAGCTCTCAATAATAAATGTCTTCAGCACCGTGGCGGCGGTCAAGCTGCCAATCATAAGCATGGCGTTGCCCAAGAGCGTGATGGCAATGTGCCAATGAAACTGGACGGCACAGCCGAAAATGATGCAGCCTGCCATGGATGAGATGAACGGAACGATGAGGTTGGGCAGCTGGAACTCAGGCTCGCGGTTCGTTTTGCCACGTAAACGGGAGATTTTGAGGGTGAGCTTATCGGCCAGCGGCCCGCCAAACAGGTAAACCACGACTGACGAGACGAGGCCGACGAGCATCGTCAAGCCACTCAGCTCGTAAGGGATACTGGAAGTTGTTAAAATTAGCCAGACGTCAAAAATAGGTGTAAACAAACTGGAGTGACGCACCCAGCGGCCAAAAGAGCGAATGAAATGGTCTGGCCAATTGACTGCATAATAATAAAAAAGACTGCGTCGATGCAGATCACCAAAAGCATCGCCGGGAAGTACGTTGTTTGCAGCGCTCGTAGCATCTGCAGTGCCGCCTCGCGCCATTGAAAGCCGACATGAAACATGGTCAGATCGTCTCGCAGCGTGCGTTTGCCATACGTCGCATAGTCCAGGGCCGTCCGGACCTCGCCCGGCGCAACCGGCCACACCTGCTGCCCATTGAGCTCCTGCTTGCTGCGTTTGACGCGCGTCTCGGGCACAAACGCAATCAAGAGCACCCACGCCAGCACGCCCACGGACGACGTGATCAAGTAAATCCAGCGCCAGGAGTGCTCCACCGCAATATACGGGCTCAGCATGCCAAAGATGGTCATCATGGGGCCCTGGCACGCCATGATGGCCGCAATGGCGCGGTTGCGCTGGTGGATAAAAACCATGTCCTGCATCACGAGCGGCAGCAGAGCTTCGACAGTCGCCGACCCCAAACCGTGGATAACGCGCGCCGCCAAGTGCTCCTTGAGGGACTGGCTGTAGGCGGCCAAGAACCCGCCAATCCATGAGAACATGGCCGTGACCAGCAGCACAGGGCGACGCCCGATGGCGAGCGACAGCGGCACCAGCAAGAAACTAGCGGCGCAGTTGGTCAATGACGGCAGAGTAGACAGGAGTGTGACCTCGTAGAGGCTGACGGGCTGGACGCCCGGTGGGATCAACGCCATGGGGCTGGGGTTGCCCTTCATGTCAGCATGCTTCAAGATCGGCCGCGGGTCGACCCCCGAATACTCGAGCAAGAAGACGGGCAACAGCCCACCGACGACGAAGTCGGCACACATGGACAGACTGCCGACTGGCTTTCTGTTAGTGATGAGAAGAATAAAGCGAGGGCGGGGCCCACTTACAGAAACAGAGGGCACCGATGGCAGCGTATTTACGCCAATTGGGCAAGTTCAGGGGATCTGGAGAGTCAATATACCGTCATATCATATGCACCTTCGTAATTGCCAAACACAAAACATGTACCGACCTTTTGGATTGGGAGACGGCGTCTGTTGAGGTCAGCCTTTGGTTTAGAATATCATATACACTTACCGAAGGACTCACAGGAATCAACCGGATCTTGCCGTCGCCATCGTAAATATTGGTGCTTCCAACAATCTCCAGTGGCACTTCCTCGTCTGTCAGCGTGGCTGATGTGTCTACTCGCGACAGTGGTGGCTTTTCTGTCGAGGTATTGTCCGACGGTGCCTTGATGCTCTCTGTTGCAGTTTGCTCGTCATGATCACGGACACGGCTGGTATTGTTGCGTGGAGTTTCCGATTCCGTGTCCAGTGCCACATTCCACTCCGGTGGGAATTCTTGAACGACATTCGAGTGAGGGAGTGCCATGATTTTGGTGAAGGGCAAGTGTTGAGTAAGAAAGAAAAGCAACAGAGAGAAATATTTCAACTATTTTGACGACTCTAGAAGAAGATCTGAATAGCACATAGTTTACACAGAAGAGAGGAAACGCGAGATATATATCATAACCATCAACTGAGGAGTTTTCTTTGAAGCATAAAATTAGCCCCTCGGCCAACATCCGTCGACATATACGGCTACAAGTGATAAGCCAAGATGCAGGTGGATGCCTCGTGTAAAGTGGCGATTCTGGTCTAAATCTCAGACGAAATAAATGGAGCGTCTGAGATCGAAGACGGGGTTGAAAAGGGCAAAAAGGCAAAGTGAGGAACACACATGAATCGACGGACCCCAACTTCGGGACCGTGCTCATCCTGGGGTCGGATCTCGGCCACGATAGTTGCATCCGGCAGTTTACGCCTTTGTATCAAGTCTGGGCCATCTATCGAGGCCTCTCCCTTTGTTCATCCCTACCTACAACAAACGGGACAGCACAAACTGATAATTGAAAATGAGAGGGATAGAAAGAGAGAGACAGAAAGACATAGAGAGATAGAGTAAGTTCCATTCGCCCTTGCCACTGGCTAGCGTCGGCTGTCTTGTTACGACAAAATCACCAGACATTGCAAATATAGATCCCGTGTATAGGACGAGTCAGTATGCTCCACAAGGAACATTTTGTTAAAGGCGAATGCTCTGAATCTGGGGTAGAGTATCCAATTTTCATGCTACCTGTATGAGCCCTCTGTTCTGAGAAGCTGTCCCACGAGGCTGTAAACCGGCAAAGGACGCGTGCAATATATAAATCCAAATGACACGACAGCTCCAGATGCAGGTTGCGGACCCTGGTTGGCAGAAAAAGGAGAAGAGGATATTTATTCCCCGCACACCTTTGTTTTAGCCTTGGCATTAGCCCCTATTTGGTGTTGTTTGATAGAGGCGCGACACGTACATCAACCAGCCACCCATAAACTGTATTACATATATGTGCCAAAATAGAGTGCCATAGCGATAAAATAAAGAAAAGATGCATGGATCAAGTTCTTTAAGTTTCTGGTATTTTGTCCCCTTATCTGTTTCGGCAATTGTAAATCTCGAAATCTAGAACTGGCGGCACAAAGGCCGAGTCATCCATTCTCGCGTCTGCCATGGCAGCCACCTCCGCTTTATGTATTGTAGTGCAAAGCAGATGATGCTCATACAAGGACCTCGTTGGAGAGGTTTGTGGAGATCTGTATAGTCGTGGAGAGAAAGGAAGAGATAAGACTACATATACTCTGCTCAGGAGAGATTGTAAATGTTTCTTGGCTTAAATGTTTCATTTGATATGCGCTGCATCTCGGCATTTGATCGGAGAAAAACACGCTTGGCAGATCTGTGCATCTTCCATCTCTGATACCTTGACTTATGCTTTTTCTTCTCCCCATGAATGAGCACCGTTTAAATGCAACCGCCATCTGCCGTGGAATAAAAGGGAAGAATGACGGAACAAAACGAAATGGAAATAAACGGCCGCACTATCGACATATTGAAACATATCGAAACAGACGACGACACTGCAGGAATATTCTCCGACGGGTTGAGGGCGACGAGAAGAAGAATGTGAGGCAAGACATAACGGAAGATAAGAGAAACAAGGCCCAAAATACACTCTCTAAGCAAATGTATGCAATTTTGGTTGTCCCTACATATAGATAGCTATATTTTATTCTGATAAGGGTTGTTGGAGTCTGCTGTGATTTGCATATAGCCGGGCAATTTTGGCATGAAGGTTCGACACGGAAGGCGTACAACGTAGGATGGCAGTTGTTAAACAAGGAAGAACATAAATTGCATCAAGACAACGAATAGTCTACCGGCGCTCATCAGAGCCACTTTTCGTTGACAGCTTTCCCTTCCGACTCTCTCAGTCTCTCCTTCATCGTAGCCGTGGTCCCCTCTCAGATATTCAAATTGTCACTAATTCCCACATCCGGCTTGCGACGCCCTGCAGATCAGCCTCAGAGATAACAATTTCATGCTCTCCCGACTCTGCGACGGGCGCGCGCAAGAAGAGATCTTCAACCCGTATGACCAAGGGTGCGCCTGAAACCCGAAACAGAGTGGCCACACGGTCATTGCGCGGCATCTGCAAAATTGGATCGGGCCCAGCCCATGATTAGTCGATCCGCTGCCTGAGAGAGGGTTCCAGTATAGTCGAATGGGCACGTGCAGCCGCACTAGAGACATAATGCGAAGATATGGGGAGATGATGCTAGTGCGTGCAAAACGTCGTTTGATGAAGAGCAATGAAGGATGCACCGTTTAGCTTACGCGCTGACGAATATGTTTTGTGCTACCCTCTCGCTGGCTTGGGATGAAGCTTACAAAGCAGCGAGTCACATAATTTTCCATGTCCCGTATAACATATGGCATCATCGGTAACATTCTAGGGCATTTCACAATGCATTGTAGGGAACTTGTTTTTTTTTTTTTTTTTTTGCTTTTATTAATAAATGCTAGATTTTTCACTTTTTTTATGCTTTTCTAGCTATCGTACACTGGCAACCCACGCCTGACCTGAGAATCTTTCTCCGTAATGGAGAAAAACACGCCGTTCCGTGGAGACGCTAATATGCGTTTCTTCGAGGTCAAAGGCCATGCAGAACCTTCCATACATGAATGAAACAGGAAATAAAAACAAAAGAAGGAAACGGAAATTATCATAACATCTTCAAGAAGATCGAGCCGATCATACATTACGTCGGCTGCGGCTGAGGAAGGAGGAAAATAGCAGGAAGATGTGACAGGTGAGCATGGGTGTTCAAAGCCGCGATTGGCAGATGATGGCTGTCGTCAAGGTAGGTGGCTTCTCGTCCTCTCTCAAACGTGTCGTCTTGTCTGCTGCTCTTGCGCGTATATGGCAAGAGATCCACCTTGTCCTTCATGGTTGCTCGCATGCCGTTTGCATTTGCTCTTTTGCAAACAGAAAATGTCAATGTGACCACACAACTCCTGGCCGAAAAAGAAAGAACTCGTAACTTTTTTTGTTAGACATCCTCGCCTATTCATCCCCCTTTTTGTAGTTACCAAACTCCAAGCTTGCTGTGATGTCGAGAAATGAATATGAAAGCAGGTGAAGAAGCAGGTGAAGAGCAGATCCGAGATGAAGATTGAAAAGAAATCGGACCTGAAAAAAAAAAAAAAAAAAAAACAAAGAAACCGACGTATGTCGTCTAGTGTATATTTCGTTCAAAACAACATTCAAATCCGGTTACTACCAGTCGTATCGACCTTATACCGGCCTTCAAACCCAGAAGGGGAGGTCAAGTTGCGTGCATGGATAGACGGACAACTGTCCTCGTTCACCAAACCCACAGACGTCATCGCCGTTCACCCAGGCTCGGTCTAGAAGGAGGCAGAAGGTTGTTGGCAAAATCACCATCGAAATTGATACCTCTCGCCAGGCTCGGTGGAGACTTCAAGCTTGCGAACGAGCCGTGTGCCGAATGCGCCGAGGTAGTTGCCATTGTTCCGCAGTTGGAACATGTTCCGCATGTGCATTTCGTGGTCTGGATTCAAGGTGTATTCCGCTCGCAACTCGCCATCGAGATCACCGCGGTAAATGTCAAGATGATAACCTTCCTGCCGGAGGTAGTCAGCCGCGTGGGTGCCGCGACGTGCGACGACTTCTGAAATGCCAGCCATATCTGTGCCGGCGCGCTCACATTCTCCCATGGCAGCAAGATAGTCGCCATACCGCTGGACGGCGAGGTAATGCCGGTTCTCTCGCTTGCGCTGGGCAATCATGGAGATTGTCTCATCGTAGATTGTGGCGACGTCGAAGTTTGCACTTGGTCGCCTTCCCGTGCGAATCCGCCGTTCCTCGAGCAAGACTTTGCAGCGTACAGTGGGGGACATGGCCCCGTATACCTCGCGCTCCAGCGGAGCAAAATCCGAATCTTTGGACAAGGGCAGCCAGCACTGGAGAAGATCGGACGTGAAAAAGGGATGCTTCATCCGACGGAGAAAGGCCTCTTTGCGCTCCTGGTACTCTTCTTCGTCTAGCCGGGGTTGGTGGTCGACGAAGGGGTCGTCGGCGAGTCCGCCGCCGACGTTCGAAAACGGCCGCGTCATGGGCGATTCCGGGTCAGGGCAGCCGGCGGTGACGACAATGTGGTCGTCCGTGGCCAACTGCTCAATCGCGGTCTGGGCGACGACAGCGTTCGAAGCGCTGACGGCACCACCCCCGGAACCGCCTGACTCTTTTCCCGACCCGGTGCTCGCTGCGTCGTCCATTTGGACCTGGGGGACAAGGGCACCGGCGACATTGGCATCGGCTGTGAGCGCATGAACGCCACAGCCTTCAGAGCTATGTCCACGGTAGCCGGGTAAGGGGCCTTTGGTCGACGAGTTGCCACTCTGATCAGATTTGTTGCCATACCGAGAGTCGGAAGCTTTGCTGTTGCTGGGAGCAGAACCGCTCGCACCAGCGCCGGCACCACCTGTACCTGGGCCTGGACCAGAGCCACTGGGGCCAGGACCGCCATTCTTGTCATCTCGGTCGCGGCCACCACGCTTGGAGGACGAACGAGGGGTGGACTCTTTGTCATCATCTTCGTCCTTTGTGGCCTTCACGGTCTTGTCAGAACCGTCCGAATCGGCCTTGTCGTCCGTGTCCTCTTCGACAGAAGCAAGAACAACCTCTTGACCCAGGCGGCTGTTGCCACGAACAGCACGGTTGGCAGGGCTGACGGGAGAGGTCCGGGTAGTGCTGTTTGGGTTCGCGGCGTGGACGCGGGCCCGCTCCACGGAAGGCAGGGGAGCACCATCCATGGGGCTGTTGTTCTGTGGCGCGGGACTAAGTGCCAGGAGACGCGGGTCAATACACGCATTCTCGCCGACGCGGCCATTAGGCGACAGGCTTCCATGTGGGCCTAGATGGCCTGGGCTTGGGCTCGTGTAATTGTTGTTGTTGTAGCTGGGCAACATGCTGCCACGCGAACCTGGATGGTGTCCATGGCTGTTGGACCGCGGAGGGAGCTGCCCGTTACTCACAATACCAGCACGGCCCATAAAACCGTTTCTATGTTGATCTGGTAGGAGTGTGGCCGAGGTGTTTCTTGGACGATCAACGCGATCGTCATGAATCTCGACTATGGGACCTCTTCCAGACGACTGGTTGAAAAACGGGTCGAAATGTCCCACAGTAGGCGACAAGTCGGCAATAGGCGTTCCATCGCGGTGGTGTACGGACGACGTTATGCCACCATTGTTGCACTCATACCTATTGCTCCCCTCCCGCATGATGTCAGGAACATCTTCTGGCCCGCGGGGGTAAAATGGCCCGAGTGACATGACCGGCTGCGCCGGTCCAACTATATCATCAATGAACGGCCCAAAAACATCTGGAGTTCGTGCTCCGAAGCCGCGGAAAGGACCGTTGTATGGTGGCGGCCCATACCGCGAGGTGCCTGGCGACATGGAAGAACTATCGCGACGAAAAGGGTACAAACTGCCGTTGTCTGGACCGTATCCATGAGTTCCGTACACATGAGCGTGACGGTCGCGAGCATGAACCGTGTTGTGGCCTCGTCCGGTGACGTGCATGCCAGCATTGAGCATGGGACCAGGACCGGGGCCCTGCATATAAAGGTGTTGAACCAGAGGATTGGGGTGCTCGGCACCGCTCCACGTCTGGTTGCTGTACGAAGGACGACGCCCACCAGCTTGATTCGGCTGCATGTACTGCTGACCGTGATGCAGTTGACCATACTCGGTCGCCGACGAGCTGCTTGAACGCATGTGACCACCCGATGGGGCTGGCATGATATGTCTTGACGACATTGTTTGAGGTCCGTACTGACCCATGACTGTGACCTGTGGAGAAAGACTGGGCGGTGCGTTCTCGTTGCCCACTTGACCGTCTGAGGTCGATGTGGCACGACGCTCGGCAGACGGGGCAGGCGCTTCGGGCTGGAAGGAGCTCTCAAGGACTTGCATTATAGTGGACGGTGTGTCTCGGCTCGGAGTTTCGCTCTGCCCTGCAACCGTGCTGCTGTCGCGCTCAAGCTCTGAAAGACCGGAGATCATGGATGCCGAGGTAAGTGCACGAGCACGACGATGAACGGGGGGTGCTGGGTCGATACGGTCGCTAGGCGACACGTGCTCGACGCTGGGGATTGGAACATCACAGTCTCTGAGCTCCGGAGACAGCGACACTTCGCGGGACGTGTTGCTGCTGGACAGATCTTGTATTTGAATGTGTTCACCTCCAGGATCGATGTTCACCGGTGTGGTCTCGTGGAGACCGACACCATTCAACTTCGGCATCGTGATGATAAGGAGGCCGTGCTCAATAGGAGGTTGGAGGGAAAGAAAGATGCAAAGAATGATTTTGAGGTAGGACAATAACAAAAGGCAAACCAACAAGAGTCAGCTGCGAAGATGTGTTGTGTTCCGAATTGCTGAGCAAAAGAGAGCAAGCAAATCCAGAGAAGGGGGCTGACAGACGTACAAAAAAAAAAACGTCGACGTATATTACACAACATACGAAGATGCAAGAGGAGGTAGGAGTTGTCAAAGACAAGGGAAGTAACAAGAGAAAGGCGGTGATCGTGACGGTTGTGAGGGTTACCGACAACGGGGGGGGGACTAGGTAGGAGATGCAGAAAATTATGGCCACGCCTGTTAACACAGCAGGGCCACAAACATGCACCGGGGGGCAGGTGATCACCTCGTGAAAATTCTTCACAATTGTTTTGTTTCCTACCTCTGGACCAAGCCTGTTCCGTGTGCAGACTCGTCATCGTGGTTGGCTCATGGCATCATGTCATGACAAAAACGGAAGGAACGACCGCGACAAGGGCCGGGACAATGAGTTTGATGCGCGGGCCGGAGTGCCACGGAACAGGGTATCCTCGTAGCTACCAGCCCTATTTTGGTGTTCAATAGCAGGCATACGTGCTCCCAAGCGGGCAGCTTCCAGTTTTGTTGTACTTCTACGTGCGGTGGCGTGCGTGCAGACTGTGCACGCCGGACGCTCCTTCCTCCCTGGTGGTGATACGCGTCTCGAGCACAGCCGAAGTAAGAGGAAAGAGGTGGAGGGAGGGCAAAGGTTTACAGATAGGGAAGGCAGAGCAAGAGAGAAACTAGGAAGGAGGTCCTCGAGAAGAGAGGCGGGGAACAATGATCCATAGACTATTGCAGCCATTGGTGAGGGTGAGGCTTTTGGCTTTTGAATTTTTGAATTTTTTCCCGGTCACGTTTCCGGTTATTAGTTGGTGATATATTTTGATATTGTCGTCGACGGGCCTAATAGCGCGTCCATGTTTTATTGTCTTGTACTGCTTTATTTGCTGTTGCGAACCTCTATCTTCTCCGTTCTTGTCCTTCTTTATTATCATATTGTCGTTTGTATTATGCTTCCCTCAAGGATACTTGGCTTCGCAGCCCGAAATGTTCGTCAGACGCGACGGGCAAGTAACTTGCTGGTACTGAATTTTCCAGCCGGAAATGTCGCCTCGAGCCCAGTTGAATCGCCAATAGCAGCCAGCTTGGAGGTTGCTCGGAAGTTGCTCGCAGCTGGATCGACCAGTGACGCCGCCAAAGTCGGAACCCCTATCGTACTTGTTAGATGTTGTCTGCCTGTCTTGTTGATGTGTTTTTGCTCTGCTTCTTCTTTCAGTTTACGTTGCCGTATCTCTTCACACCTCCCCATCGTCGGCCGCTTCTTCTCCTCTTGCTTTGTTTTGTTTCCCCTGTTTCGTTGGCCTTGCTAACTCCTGTCATTGCTTCGCCCTTGGGCATCCTCCGAAAACGTCAAAACACCGACCGCCCATCACCGTTCGCGACGTACCAGTTGTAACGGCTTCCATACTGCCGTGGGCAGCCTTGGTCAAAGTACCCAAGACCGCCGCCGGGCGTTAGAATAATCAAGTCGTCCTTTACGACACTACCGCCCGCGCCGCCGGGCGTCACAATTTGAACAATCATCTTTTTACCGGCCGCTGCACCCGACAACCACTGCACCTCGTAGCATTTGCAGCAGTTGGGATTGTCTTCGCGCTGGTTGTCCGATACTTGGATGGCAAAACCGTACGACAAATCGTCCGCGACGGGGACCGGCTGGTAGCTGTCGCACATGTACGAAGAGCCGCCGGGCGAGCAGCCCGTGGTCGCAAAAAGCCCCGTGTTTAGGTCCTGAGGCCTGTTGTCCTTGTCGCAAGTCCGGGCGACGCCCCTGGCAGTAGCCGGTGGAGTCAATACGGGCTGGTGAGAAAGAAGGCACGTGTGGAATCACTCACCTAGATCTCAGGAGGTCGGAGTTGCGGTTGCCGTTTGCACAGATCGGTTTGCAGCTGTGTTTGTTTGGGTAAGTTTACCTCGTTTTTGGTTTTCACTTCGCATACAAAGTCGTAAAACACTTAACTCACCAGTCCCAACCAGTGTAGGAACTCGCGCTCGTCACAACCGCTGCTTCGACACTAGCCGCGACAAGCCGCCCAACAAGTATCAATTGTACCAGCTTGAACAGCATCCTAGTCGCGTCGACCGTATCTGTTATACTTTGACGATAACGTTAAGGTTGAAGAAAGACTTGAGGCGGGTTCGTTTGCAAACGTGTTTGCAGGCTTATTTGCAGCAGCAAGATAGAGAGACAAAGGTTGCTCGTTTCCCAAATGTACGTCAACAATATATAGAAACAATGGAAGAAAACTGACGTCCATCAGCATTCCACATGGCCGAGCGTCTCGCGTCGGCATCTGTTTTATAACTCCTCTTGTCCCCAAACTTCTCCGTTTTCCTTGCCATCTACAATTTCGGCACTATATTGCAATCATACCGGTCACAGGAGCCGAGCTGCTGGGGAGCATAGTAGCTTTGGATATTAGATTAACCTTGCTAACAGGTCACCATCTATAAAAAGCAACTTGCCGAAGCACAGAAAACAACCCCCAAGATTGTCCCAGCAGACCATCACCGATTCCAACTTACCCTGGCCGACCACTACCTGTACCTGCCAAGACCAAAAACGACCAATATGGAAGACGTGGCTGGAGTCGTGGATAACCTAGGTTACCACAGAAGCGTTCCTAGAGAAGGTCCACCAATCTGTGGCAGGTGATGATGCACATCCTAAGTCTTCCAGCTGCTGCAAGTACTTGAACATTTTCCATCTCGACATGTGGGACGCGTACAAAATTAACATGGACTCTTCTTTGCTGGACGGAGTAGCGTTTCTGCAAGGAACGGTACCTTGGTATTTTGCAAATTTAATTTCTTTTCTTACTTCCTAAACTCCTTCTTCGTAATATTTTCTTCTTCTTCCCCGTTCCAGACAATATATGTAGTATTAGTACTAACAGAACGGCTTAGCAGATCCAAGAATATATAAGACCCCTTTCAATATCCGATCCAATTCTCCGAACATATTGAGCCGCCCTGTAGCAGTCCGCACTACACCATCCCTTTACCCTTTTCTCCGATATTCCTCCCACATCCCAGAACACGGCAATCGAGCACTAAGTCATCTTCGGCACGGCAAGCATACTGTACGAACTCAAAGACCATTGTACCGTGTAACAGCGGACTGCACCTAACGAGATGGTGGGTACGTACGGTGTGTATACTCATGCTGACGGGTGATTGCTACGGGCTTCCTGACAGATGATAATTATATTGCAGTCCAGGCATTGTCTCACCGTAAAAGTGCTCTTTGCGAAACATCCCGTGGAGAGTCGGGTTCATGGACGCCCGTGACGGCTCGCTGCCAGGCTGCAACGGCTAAGCACCATTCTGCAAATAAGACATTGACGACACACCACTAGGCCATCTGAGCCCCAAACCGGTCTCGTTCTGCGAAGAATGTCATCCAGCACCTGCACAAAGAAATCCGGAGTGCTATAGCCCGTCCAGTCGTTCAAAAAGCTCTGCTGCATCTTCTGACGTCGGATGGCAGTTTCAGCTTGTTTACCTTGTTCCCCTAACCCTGTCACCAATATTGCGGGTGCAACTTCGTTGACCATACCACCATGTAGCAGGCCTTTCGTACTGTAGTATGTCTCGGTTCTATCTTCCATTGATACTTATTTCTGTGTCCAGACGGGCGTGTACGGAGACATATCAACCAAGAGAGCAGCATCTTGTGATCACAAAATATGGTCACGTGTCTCGGGTGGCACAGCCGGAGACGACAGATATTCCGCGAATTCTTCATCTGATCTTTCTGTGCAACGGCACTCGAGTCCTCGAGTCCTCGAGTCCTCGAGTCATCCAATGCTCGAGTCCTGGTCATGTCAAACATATGGAGCATTACGACGCTTCCAATATGGTTGACCCAAGCCCGTCTGAATCAACGTTTTTATCCCCTTGTAAACGACGATCCGTTCAATGAGCACTGTATCCGTGAAAATGAGACCTAGCAAAAACAATTGCTCAGGCCCTCTAACATCTGGTCGCTGGAATAGCTGGTCAGCCGCGAGATAGGCAATCGCCGCCCGGTGGAGTTTGTCACCACAGGGAAAGGCTCTTACAATGTCGTGCCAACGTTCCGTATCCAAGACGGAGCCGATCCCAAATACGTTACGTTACGTGTTCCGCAGCCCGGGTTCTCGCCCAGTGTTCTCGTGTCCGAGAAGATCGAAAACGAGGTCCACTGGATGCAGTACTTTGAGGAGTAGCGTATCGGCTCCGTCCCGCACGTCTATGGCTGTCGCTCAGAGCGAGGCCAGGGCAGTATGGATCCGTAAATTTTTATGGACTTTGTCGAGGGCGAGAGTTTAAACGCCTTTTGGACCTGTTGGGAGGCGTCCACAACCGAGGCGGACAAGGCGAAGCAGCGTTTGGTCCTGCGATAGCTGGCCGCTATTTGGCTCGAATTCAATCGCGCTCGCTTTGATAAAATCGGGTATCTTACCAGGGCCGCTGACGACTCGTGGGCCGTCACACAGCGCCCGTTGGTATACGATATGTACGTCCACTTGTCAGGCATCCCGGACTTCCAACTAATGCGTGGCCGACAAGGCCACTATGAAGCGCACAGGAGTACAGAGGCCTTCGTCGCGCACTTGCGTTGCCAGCATACGTGCTTGCGCAATATCAACCTGCCAAGCACATGGGACGCCGAGGCCTTTTCTTACTCTCCAGACGGGCAGCCACACCGATATGGAGCACGCTATGGCAACCGCGAGCGACTGTCTCCTCTCACGCCATACCATGGATCTACCGGACTACGCTGCCCATCTTCATGGTGACAACGGGCCGTTTGCAATCTTTTGTTTCGATCTCTCTAAGGTCGATATACTGGCCGACCCGGCCACGGGGCAAATCACCGCCCTACTCGACCTCGAGTTCATAAACGCCATGCACGCCGCGTTTATCCAGGGCCTTTCCCTTGGCACGCTACTTATGACCTCGGCAAGGTGTATCGCCCGTGGCCTGTTTTCAACTTGGCAGGATCTACCACGGGGTATCTTCGTTATTCGCTCGGGTGGATCCGTCTATCGCTACTGAAGAAATAAAAGACTTATCAGAAGCACACCAAAGAACAGATTGCGGTGCACAATAAAGAGAGGGCATCGCTCGTAATGTAGGGGCGAGGTGAGCCGGCGAGGAATATACATGAGCAGGGCAGATGCTAAGATTATCAATGAGTTTCTGTCCTTTCGGTGTTGTCCCGTCGCAGTCTGCGCAGCAGATGTTATCACTGCTTTCAGCTGAGTTTCAGGGCCATTGACAATGCCACTCAAAGCTGCCAATTTCGGTTACTGCCGCTTGAATGCCATCTCTCTTTCTTTATTTCTTTTTACGATGTATTGTCGTCAGCACTTTTTTTTGACGATCTAACATACAGTATGGTTCGCACCATTCACCAAAGAGCAACGGCCAGAACAGCACTTTCCTCCTGTAACTTATCCAATTGCATCGGGTGTGGGGGTCGCTCCAAAAACCTCCCGTGCTTTGATTTGATGATGGCGTGCACTTGGCACCACCACCCAACCTAACCGCTCGTCGAAATGCAATTTTAAAATGAGATGCGCCGCGTTTAAATTTTCATCACCTCTTTTTTCTTCTTCATGGGTCCAAGATAAGGCTGTTTAGTGGATTTGTCTTTTCTTGCTGCCAAAAGTAACAATCACCATCCTTAACGGCACGCCCTCTAATTTTATTTTGCAGATTCGAAACATTTCGTCAACAGAGCGTCTTGTGTTGTCAACGGCGAAAGGCACAGATACCAATCGGTGGCGTGTTGGTTAACAAGAAGTTTTGATGTACCCATAACACGGCGTGCGACGCGTTTTCTGTCAACACCACCGAGGAAAGGATCCTGCCGAAATGAAAGTCACAACAAAAAATATCACACTAACTTCACACGACAGCTGCAAGGCTACGAGACAACGACCACACAGCCAACGTGGACGGCGTGTTGGCGTCTTGCCATTCTCTCGTAAAAAGGCAGCTGGGTGGTGAAATTTCACGTCGGTGAGGTACGACGTACGAGCTACGTTTGCAAATGGACGCAGGACGACCATGTCGTTGCGTGACATTGTGCCTTTTTTCCAATGTCATGGGACAATGGCCACCGACACACAAAAGGACGAACGATGGTCGTTGGCATCCTACCCGATTACCAAATAACGGCCGTATAGCACGCCCAAAAAGCTATCTCGTAGCCCCTGAGTACGAGCTCCTGTCAGTGCCTCGTACACCGGATTCTCTGCACATCGCGTGCCTAAAAGGCACCCTGGCTTCTTGAGTTCCGCCGTGTCAGCTTGCATGTGTGTACAGGCACCATCGTGACTCCATATACGTGGCTGTATTCCTTCTCCCAATCGCCTGTCCTCCGCCTCGTATACAAGACAAATATACGGAACCAACAGAGCCCAAGATGAGGGGAAATACGAATCGCCAGCAGTCTACCGGCATCCGGTCTTGCATTGCGAGAAAAGAGCATAACAGAAGCACTACTCCATGTCCAGATTAAGTCGGATGCAGCATGAGACCTCATGCCAAGTTTTCTCCCACATGAACACAGTAATACGAGATTGACGAGGGAGGAGAGAAGAGGGGTAAAAATGTGTGCGGCATGCTGAAGACGGTGTTCTATTGAGATTTGCTCTGGCAAAACGACGGCGCCCCATAAAGCCAGTCAACATCATGGAGACATTTGTTTTGCCATCGTGATGGGGCCCCGATGGCTGTTGCTCGAGAACAGGATTCACATTCACCACGGACAAGCCAACATATGCCCGAATACAAACTCGGGGAGCGCCATGCAGAACGAGACCCAAAATGAGACGACGAGACGAAAAGAATGATAACAAAAAAAACGCAGATAGAGTGACCGAGTGGCCAAATCCAGAGATAAGAAAAGCGACCAGTTCATCAGAACAAAAAGAAAGAGAAGCGGGCTCCTTCGTGGTGCCTTGCCTGTGACCTAAGACCAGCCAGGCGGCCCCCGCGGGATCGTCCTTGTGGGTTTAGACCAGTTCGGCCATCTCCAGTTACGTTGAACTGATGGGCATCATCCGTGGTTCGCTCTTGTTCAGACCGCAACAGTGACAGTGACGTCGTGGATGCGATATGGCCGTACAGTACTTGGGACGTAATCGTTCTGCCGGTTCATTTAAAAACAAACGTCTCACTGGGAATACCCACAATGCAGGACTGCGGAAGTGCAGAAATCCTACTCTACAATGGTAAGACGAGGGTATGCAGCGAAAGACCGTCGAGGTCATTGACAGACGACGATGCAGTCAGAGTGGTATTGAGCAAGGCCAAAAAAAGTCGCATCGAAAGGGCCAAGCGTTTTGGTGGCCGTACGATGGATTTCCAAGGAAAATCGGCTACAGCGGAGAGGCTAAGTGGAGACGGCAATGAACGTCTGTGTGTAGGGATTGGGGAAAAGCGCGAGAGTGACAGCGGATGAGCAGGTTCGCACAGGGCTAGAGGATGTGACGTCGGCAAGGTGACAACAATGCGGCCATTTTCCGTCGTATCGAGAGTGAGGTTTGGGCCTCGCTTTCATCATAGCTCGCCATGACGCCTTCGACGACCACAGCAGACCAAGTCCGGCCAAATTAAAAATTTTGTGACAAAAGGTCCTTCACGATGGTCAGTCAGTCCTCCTCCTCCCTCCGAAAACAAAAACCTTGGAACCTTGGATGGCGTTCTGTCGGTGTCGGTGTCGGTGTCGGCGTTATGATGAGAGATCCCTCTTGGGCCTTGAAGGTCCTGCCCTTGAAGAGCCCTTCGTGTTCCGTCGCGTTCGGCGGGGGCATCGTATCTCAGTCGGCGAGTTCTGTGGAGAGAGGGCCGTGCAGTAAACTGAATATTGACTGCTGGTTTCCATTGGTTTTCACCATCGATTTTGTCCATTGACTCTTCACGTTCGGTGCTCTTCAGACGAGGAACTGCTCGTCTATTTAATGTCAATCGTTCAGACCTGTCCGCGAGAGAGTATTGCACAGGGTGGTAGAGCCGAAAGCTGAGATTGGATCGAAAAAGGAGGACAGGAAATCGATGCCGAGTGCTTTGCCCAGCTTGCCGGTGGGAGGCTTGGGCAAGACGAAGTGCATCATGACGCGGATTCTTCAGGCTAACCTGGCAGCCTGCAGACACAGCAAAGATAAGATACGAGAAAAGATGCATGCAAGTGTGCCAAGACAAGGTGCGGGTAACAGAAAATGGCAGTCAAAAGCCATAGCAAGCGAAGACGGTGGGCAAAATCAAGGGTGGCTGGATGGGGATTCTCGGGCTTGTCTGGTTTGTGGCTGCATGCAGTTGTCACGGTCGTATTTATTGATTGACCCATGCGGTGTGGAAACCCAAAGGACCAAACGACCACTCAGAAACTAGACGATAACCGGAGAAGAAGGAAAGAGTGGCTAGGGCACTTTCAGGCAGGTTGCAGCTCTTTCAATGGAGAAAGAACCACACAACGTTGCGTGTGGCGGTACGAGAATTTTCCATCTTTTCTTGCTAGCATGGCGGCGGGTGCCGGGCTGCCATTGGCATTGAACCCGGTTTTGCCTTTGAAGGACCTCGTATTCCCGTCACAGCTGTCGCTGCTACTCCCCCTCTGGGCCGGTTCTCGTGCAGTTTGCTGCCTCTTCCCCGGCGGCATCATTATTCTTTTTTTTTTTTTCTTCGTTGTATTCTTTCGTTGCTGTCGCCTGGCTCGCCAAAGGCCACTCGGACCAACATTTGTATGCCGCCGCTCCGTGCATACAATGCTACCAGGTGTTTGCAGTAACGTATCTTACGAGTGGCCGTGTGGTGTGGCTATCATGGCAGGCTATCATGGCTGTATCGTGAGGTCCTTGGCTCCGTCCCAACAGCTCCTGGCTGATCTTTGGTTCAGTCCCTGCACAGATCGTCTGTACTCCCGTATTTTGTTTCTATTTCTGCTGCCCTTGTCGGGAAATTCTATTTTCTGTTCTAGCCATGATAAAAAATCGAGGGTCTCAGGCCGGCCTGGGTCATCCTCGTCGGCCTTGTGTGTCGGCCTCGTGTGAGCATTCCACTTTCACGAGTCACGAGTGACTCTTCTGTTCTTGCAGGAAACGTTGCTGGTAGAAGTGGTGGAGGTGTGGCGTTCGGGGCTAGGCTCAGCAGATGGCAGTCAGTTGCCTTTTCCTGTTCTTGGGCTGGAAGACAAAAATAGATAACGCCGCCATTTTTTAGTGGCGGTGGCTGCCAAGGTAAAAAGTACCTTTGTACCCTCTTCGCTACGACGAAAACGCCGAACAGGACAAAACACAGCCGTCAAACACAATCGACAAACACCGTCATTCTGCATGCAAAGGGCTGCCGCCCACTAAAAGGCCGTGGCGGGACATGCAAGCAGAGCCGGTCGCTGCTCCTTTCGGGCAACCCGCCAGTCCGCCTGTTGTCAGTGAGAAAATAGTGGCATCCGCCAGAAGGTTCCACCAGCCACACCCAAAATCGAGTAGCAATACCAACATATCGTACACATTAGTGAACCACTCATTGAGCGACAGTGAAGCAGGGAAGAGGACCGTCAACCGTGCATTACGACGTATGTTACGGAGCCAGATAGGCATGGCCCGCCGCTAGAAAAGCCTGTGCCAAAAAGCCGCCAGAACAGCGCCGAGATCGCCTCCTTCCCAAGACGTGACAAAGAAGAGACCAACAAAGACGACCCCAAGTGGGTGTAGTTACGTGCAGAGTTTTCTCAACCTCTCGTATCGTCCGGTTCCTGTCTACGTTGGAAGGACCCTGTCGAGCGAGTTCCCGAATTAAAAGCAGTCAAGCCGCTGATCGTCTCTTCGCTAGTTTCCCAATTTAGAAGAGTGCGAATGAGCACCGTCTGATGGGATAGTGCAGCACAAAACGAGCGAGTGGCGGGAAACTCGGCGGTAACCGGTCGCGTGTTTGTAAATAGAGACACCAAAAAAACCTGCCATTAGCGTCCTGTCAACGGCGGCCAGTGAACGTTGCGCAAAATATCTAGTGGCTTTTAGTGTATTCTGCTGAAGTGCAAGTGCCCGCTCGTGAGCCACTCGGGGGACCCTGCTGCGCCGCCCTCTGCACACCCTTCGGAGAACCAGCCTGGTTCTCGCACGCAACACAAACAGCGAGTGACGCACACAAAGTCTGACAGTTTGGCAGGCAGGCGGATACGGGAGGACAACCATCCCACGCCTTGGGTTCCCTGCCAGCCTGCTATCACCGTGTAGGTGTAAAAAAAGGGTGTGAGTGGGGCCTTCAGCCTTTCCTGTCTCTTGTCTCTTTTCTTGCTTCTCACTTTCCTTCTTCGGCCTTCTCTGCCTGCCATTCCCTTGTTGATAAGCTCTCGCCACCGGGGGGCGTGTAAGTCGAAATGGCCATGGGTGGATTGTGCGAGAAGGACGACGGCCGCACTCTCTTGCACAATCACCGTATTATGTGACCATCTCTACCTGTATGAATTGCGAACGGACCGACGGGTGAGTGTTCTGTCTAGGGTGTGTGATTTGCAATACTCACTACGACATACACCCCGTCTCTTCACTGCTTCGTACATCCGCCTTCTCCTCGTCTCGTGTCTCTCGCATCGCCCGACGCCGCCCAATCTCTGTATAAGAATCGCTACCCTCCCCGTCCTGTGGCTCATCCAGTCGTCGTCACTCTGGTCTCCTTTTATCTCTAAACAATTAGGCAACTCCTAGACATCACACTCGCTGTCCACCAGTCCTTCGTTTATATCAACAATCGTTTCTTGGCCTTCGTCCTGCACAAACTTATCAGCTTTACCTAATTTACCACACCAAACTACCTTAACACTCAACAACCTCATCTTCACACGCATATTCACAATGAAGACCCAGACTTTGTTCGTCCTCGCCGCCGCTGCCTTCGGCTCGGCCATGGCTGGCGCCAACACCACCGTCACCGATGTTGACACTTCCACCGTCACCGTCCCGTGCTCCACGTCCACCACTTCCCTGGGCACCGCACCCCTCGGCACCGGCACCGTCACCTTCACGCCTCCTGGCAACGGCTCGCACACCTACACCCGCCCGACCCTGAACCCCACGACGACGACGGCGGCCACGCACACGACCGGTGCCACCACTGGCCCTAGCTCGGTTGTCACGGCCGGTGCTTCGTCCCTGGATGCCCGCGTCTTTGTCGGTGCTGCTGCTGCCGTCGCCGCTATTGCTTTCTCTCTGTAAGTGACGTGACGCGTCACTAGGTGAAGTGATACCCACCAGTGGCATCACTTTGCAACAGAAATAGAAGAAGAAAAAAAGCAAAGCATATGAGCCTGACGACACTTACGATACGAGCCGCTACCTCAACTTTTCTTGACGCTCGACGGTTCGATGGTTGAACGTCGCGACACGAGTGCGGACGTCATCGTCACCCTTTTCTATTCTCATTTTTCATTTTTGATCTCCCACCTTTTTATTTTTCAGTCACCTCCTTCCACCTTTGGGAACTCATAGACGGCAGTTTTGGAGTTTTATACCTGATTTGTCTCTTTTATTTTTTGTATTCCTACTGCTCGGGACGTCACTTCACAAACCAGTATGATGCGATGCAATTTGCTCCACATACTGTAGCACTTCTACCCCTTTTTACATTCTCAACATGGGCTTACCAAACCGGGCACCGGCGCCGCTATCCTTCATTTATATTTGTAATTTTTAATTGCTTCTTGGCTCTACTTCTATCGATACCTCTTGCTGTGCATCCTCCGTATGACTTGAAACTCTATCGGCAGTCCAGCATCAGCCTTCTTTTTTTTTCTTGAAACAGTTCAAGAAAAATACAAATTAAACTTTTTCCTCCCCTGCCAAAGATCTTTTTGTGACATGAAATAACTCGTAACTGAAATGCATCCGTACACTGGAGGGGCGGGTCACAGCTTCTGCTCCTTGGCCTGGCGCCGCAGTCGGAACGCCTCCAGGATGTACGCCCGCGTCGCCGGCACGGTCGCAGGAATGTCCCGGTACGCCGCCGTCATGCCGTTGCGCACTTCGTCTTCGGTCGCCCACACATAGTCCTGGTGCTCGTCGGGGTCCAGCGTCACCTTGTCGGTGCTCTGGACCAGCACATGGAACGCGAACCGCAGGTACAGCACCGTCCCGGTCCGGTTCGTGTAAACATACCCGGCATGGTCCTTGAAGTACGGTGGCGGCGCCTCCGTGGCATCGCGCAGCGGTGCCTCGGCCGGCTGTGGCACGAGGTGCGTGAAGCGCGTCGCGACAAGCCCGGCCTCTTCCCAGAGCTCGCGGGCGGCGCCGCTCAGGATGGTGTTGCGCGGGTGCGCGCCGTCGACGGGCTCGAACTTGTCGTCGCCCGGCTCGTCGGCGGCGCCGCCCGTGACCTCCCACCGGTTGGGCATCGAGTCGTGCGCGGCGCGCTGGACCAGCAGCACCCGGTCCTGGTCGTCAAACACGACATTGGAGACGGCGATGCCGTGGAAATGCTTCTTGTTGGCCTCGATCCACGTTTTGGGCGTGACGTTGAATTCCTCCAGTGACGGGTCGATTGTGTACTGAAAGACCTCGGGAGGTGGGGGTGGAGGGGCCATAGTAATATTGGGGGGCGGTGGTGGTGGTGGGAGGTGGCGCTGGGTGAGCAGAATTTTTGTTTTGCCGTTCAAGATGAATGATGTTTGGTGATTGTTGCTATCGTCGTGAATTCAAGGTCGTCAAGAACGGTTTATGTACCGATGAGGCGCTCAGGCAGCAGAATTTCGTGCTTTGGCGATGCAATTGCTTTTTCACTGGTCTATGGTCTGGTACTGGCTCTCTCCAGGTGTCGCCAGCTATCCGTTCTGCACTGTCTTGTTTCAGTGCGCCTCTGCTGGCTCCGTACGTCGTATTACAGTGGATGGCCAGGGCCATGATCGTTGTCTGCCTGATGCATGAAAAGCCCGACTTTGATAATGCAGGTGCCTCCGGCGAAAGGTCGTGACTCAGATATCTGAATATGGTCAAGGGCCGCTGCAAAACCGGCACAAACTGGCGGGGATGTGATGTACCTAATAAATTTTGCTGCTGTTCAACAGTGAACAGACAGGGACAAGAAACAGTCACTGTTTAGGGCACTTAAAAGAGGCGCAGCGCGATGATGAAATCGCATCAAAGAAATCGTAGCCGTTATGTTCACTGTAACGCTGCCATTCAAACATTTGTCACCCGTCATGCCAAGGCACCATCTTTTCAATAGACCCCATCGAAAGTTGATGCCTGGTCGTCGCTATATGTGCCATGGACGAAAAGCCTGGGTGGACGGAATTCTGTTGTACAAAGCTGTTGACGATTGCCGTTTAAAACGGAAGCCACTGTCGCGTTTCAGTCACCAATTCAGACGACGAACACCAGGCTTCCTTTTGCCCAAAGAAAGCTTTTCAAAACAGAGGTGCCTGTAGGCACCTAGCATATAACAAAATCAGGCCACCAACTTTAGAAACTCTCGCCTGCTGGCCTTGCCGTGATAGCCTCGTCCGTCATGAAGAGGCTCTTACGGTAACATCAGGATGTAAACGAAAGCTTCACATTTGTTGAAAACAATTAACTACATACAAAAATTGTCACAGAAAAATTTTATACTACAAAAAAAAAATAACGATAATAATAATAATCAGCGATGAGAGTGAGACTTCAACTCAAGCGATCGAAGGCCATGATTGCTAATCGTACCCGTTAGACCGCCCTAGTATCCCACCATTCTGCTTAAACTTTGATATGGGACTGCGGTGCTGATTATCGTATGCCAAAATAAGTATGTGGAAACGAAAAGCTCGAAAACAAAGCCCAAACGAAGCAAGAACGCCTGTCGTTTCATAAAAGAAGAAAACATCAGAACATGAAATAAAATGTGGTGAGAAATTAGTTCACGAAATGGGCTTCCAAACGTCCCTCCTTATCGTGGCAGACGACCCGTCACTGACGACTCTGTGATCATTCCCAGTCCTCCACGGCCTCCCGGCTGGAGCCTCAGGTAGTCTTCCTGTAGAATCAATCTTTCGGTAGGCACAAGATATACGCTGCGGTAGGGACACGTAAACAGCAGCTTCAGGTTGGCCTGGGAATATGAAACTAGCCGGATCAAGTCGGTAAAGACATCCTTCAGGTCGGCCCCGTACCGGTCGTCCTCAAAAGACGAGACGCCGTCGACAATGCAGTAGACGGGTCTGTCCTTCGGCACATACTTTAGCAACTCAATGAATACAATGTACAGTTCCCATAGGTAGCCGTCGCGCAGCCTACCGCGGAAATCGGCGAGTTGTCCGTGGTTGTACCTGCCAAGGTTGTATTCCTGAATCGGGTCCTCTCCCTCCCCGCCGCCTCGCGCCAGGTCCTCCTTGACGAGGGCCGCCACGAGCTGGACCAGGAGAGAACGGAGCATGCCCACCGGTCCACGGGCACGGTCGCGCTCGGCATCGTCTCTTTCCTGCGAGTTGTGCAAACTGCAAAAGTAGCGAAGGACAAAAGCCTCACCACTCTGGCCGGACTTCTCGAAGACGATGGACAGCGAGGAGCACATCACCGACATGGGCGAAATCAAACTGCGGGTGGCACTGGCGTCGTTGCCGTCGACAAACAGCATCCCTGAGTGCCGGCTCTGGTACCATCGTAAAAATTCGTCGGTGGCCAGCAAAGACTGGGCCTGTTCGTGGGCTCTGGGATTGAAAGAGGTGCCGTATCGATTAACAGTCATCATATCGGTATCGGCCATGTTGAGAGAAACGCCGAGGTCGTCCAGCAACTGAGTCGGCCACATGATGATGTCATTCGGTTGGTCCATGGGCACGGGTGTCAGAGACCGGCGGACGTCACGAACGAGGGCGCTCTGCTGCTCGAGGAGGTATTGCTGGTTGCGGTTGAGGTCTGAGAGAGACGGGTGGGAGGACGACAGTGTTAGTGAGATTGCAGCAAATGACAATGGCAATGCTATATTCTGGAGCTGAGCAATTGGGAAACTCACTGATCACCGTCTCAGCCAAAAAGGCAATGGTCGCGTTCTGCGACTCTGTCGCCGAAATGACCTGCTTGTGATCTTGTCCCAAAAATTGGATGCGTTCGCGAAGGGTGCGGTTTTCATCAACCATGTACCGCACAACTTTGTTGGCAGCTTCACCGAGGTACTTTATGTCGCGGCCGACAAGCTGAACGCTGTTGTTGGTCTGCTGGCTGATGTCTAACATGCGGTCCTGGCGGTCTCGGGCTTCGACAAGCATGGACCGGGCGACTGAGGCTTCGACCTGCAAGAGGCCAACACCGGTGCGTGTCTCGTTGGAGTTACGGGCAAGGATGCGTTCGGCACACTGATCGAGTTCCAAGGATTTCTTTTGGACCTTTTTTAGCATGCCCTCAATGCTGATGCTTTTCTGTCTTTCCTGCCTGTTTTTGAGCTTCTCAATAAGGTTTTTTCCTGGATGAGGACATGCGATCAGTATTTATTTCGTTTTGTGGTTGTATGTGTTCACGGTGTATTTGCCGTGTGCTCTATGTGTGTTCACCGCCTGCCATTTACTGTCCATGTAAAGGGAAGTGCTTTGTCTGTTGTCCTTTTATCTTCTTCTTTTGTTTTTTGTTTTGTTTTTGTTTGCCGTTGCGTTTAAACTTTAGAACAAAGAAACGTGTTCACCTCCACTCTCAAGGCACGCCCAACTTGAACTTACCTTTTGGCTCTGGTTTCAATGACCAAATCAGGTCTGCAATGCCCTCGACCAGACAGTCGTACAGTGCCTGGCAACAGGCATGCATTTCTGGCTCACGCTGGAAACTGACGCCCTTGTTCATGGCATTGTGGATGGTTTCGGTAATGGTCTCGAAGCCCCCCAGGATGGACTGCTCTTTTTCATGAGATTTCTCGGCCATGTGGAAGACGATGCCGATGGCGCCGCGCACAATGGACAGGCCGTACTCGTCCGGAATCAGATGCAGCCAGGGCTCGATGGCATCCGACTTGGATCCAGCCTTGCGCCATAAATACTTGAACCAACTGACACTGCCCTTGCGTCCGTTGCGGGCGTCGTGGTCACCTTGGGCACGGGCTATTTGGCAGAACAAGTCATCCCATGAACAATTGAAGACGTCAAACGGGACATCTGTGTACTGTTTTCGGTACCATGCTAGGGCGGCCTCAACATTGCTAAAGTGGGAAAAGGGAAGAGTGTTAGTAGTGGTAAAGGTGGAAGCTGAATGACTTCAGAGCTTGGTCGCCAAGTGGAGTTGGCTGTCAACGAACAACTGCGGAATACAACAAAGGTGAGGGAGAAGGGGGGAGTAAGGTAGAGAAATGGTACCGATTTAAGACATAAAGGGGTGGATAGAAAATAAGACGGGGCACCAGAAAAGACAAAGAAGCAGTACAAGGGCAACCTACGGTAATTTCAGGACCTCCACTTGACCACGCTGTTCTGAGTACGTTGATGGATTGACTCGCACATCAAGCGCCTGGTGAATTTCATCGCCGTGATGCCTCAGATACATGGCCGACACACGGGAGTTGTCGAGGTTGCTGCTGCTGCTGCCGGTGCCGGCGGCCAATTCAAGGCCCTCATCGTCGCTGAGCTCCGTGGCGGGTGCCTGTGCGGCAGGTATGAGAGGCATGGCGCGTTGTCAACATGTCCTGGCGAGTGTTCTCGCTCTGTGCTCTCGCGCTGTGTTCTTGAAATGTATTCTTTAGGGTACCCTCTCAGACGGAACAGTCGTGGTTGACACACGTCATCCCATTTTTCCATTCCTGGTTTGGCATGAAAGAAAAGAAATGCGAGAAAGTAAAGAAAAGAAGAAACAAAAGGTCAAAGTTTCAAGGGTGCAGGCTTACACTCTGGCTCACAGCCTGGACAACCTCATCCCGTTCCCACTAAAGTGGCCATCGCCCGAATTTTGAAAATGAGGCTCAAGTTGACTGGTAAGATATTGGGCAGGAGCGCCGACGGTGTTACGCGGCGGACCTGACAGTCGTTCTCCCTTGTTTACGAGGCACCGCTTTGGTGCGTTGCGCTTTCCGGCCTGGATCGTCCCCCAGTGGTGCCTTTCTCATTTCAGCTGCATGGGCACAGCCTCGCAGTAACCCACCTGCCAGCTGGCCTGCACCTTTTGTGCACATTTCTGCACTTTGCTGCACATTTCTGCACTTTGCTGCACATTTCTGCACCGTCTTCCAGAATGGGCACAAATCCCCCCACCCGGCCGCAACCATATTCCGCTTCATCGACCATTGTAAGTGGTCGAATAACGCCCACGAGAATACATCCCTGCTTCTTTTCGGAGGATCGATGCACTGACAGCAATAGTCCTATGCGGCTGCCGCCAGCGTGCCAGTGATTGGCTCGAGCCGCCTTGCCGCCCACCCACAACCGCCCAGCTCCTCCCCCAGCTCGACATGTAGGAAACCCCTGACGCTGTTTCGCATCGCCAGACGCTGCTCTGCTTACATATAGAGTAGACGATATGGGGATATGGAGCCTCCTCTAACAACGGGAGAGGATCGTTGATCCAGCTTATGCACGTTGCTGGGGTCAGCTCGATTCTAATCGAAGCACCTAGGCTGGCATAAATAGCTCCAGCAGCTACCCCTTTTTATATTTTGGTTCTCCTCTTTCTGGTCCCCCAGCTTCTCGGCTCTGTTGGCAAACGTCTCGTCATTTTTGTTATTTTGCTGAATTGTTGTCTGTTGTTTCGATTTGTCCACTTGGACAAGCTGCAAGACCAAATCAGCACCGTTTCCGTCGCTAGGGAACACCCGCTGGTACAATGGTTAGTGCTGTTTGACGCTTCCAAGCTTAATCCCACTCAGTCGTCGCGTCGTCACGGGGAGTACGCGGCATTACTGGTGAAGTACGGGGTAATTGGCTCTCCAGCCGTGCTAACGCTACTTTCTTTTCAACTCACAGGCCACCCCTCCGGCGCTGATCACAACCGAAAGCCAGTCCGGCCTGGCTGAGTCCGTTGAGACGGCAGGCTTCAACGACGAAGTTGATGTTGTTGAGATCGTCGAAGAAGCATCCGATGGGCTACCCGGCGCCGAAGCCTGCGACGACGACGATGCCGACAAAGACGGCGAGGACGACAATGCCGACGGCGACAAGAGCGACCGCGGCAGCTTGACAGGTCGCCGCAGCCGCCGGAAGAAGCGCACCGAGAGCCCCGTCGAGCCCCCTCGGCCGCCAATCATCCCCAAAGTTCGCCGCACGAACTACGAGGGCTTCAAGAACTACTTCAGTGAGGAGGAGAGCGTCTACGCCATCGAGGTGCTCGAGGCTGGCTACGACATCAAGGACGAAGTGTCGCGCGAGTTGCTCAAGCGCGGCGGCCGGCAGTACCGCCATGTGGCCACCATCAGCAACCAGCCGCGCCTCGGCACCGTTACGGACGAGATCTGGATCCAGCGCGTGCGCATCCAGTCAAGCTATATCCTGGCGCACCTGCGCCCCATCATGACCTCGTCCATGAAGGCGGACAAGCCGCGCACCTTCTTCCGTCCCTTCTACGCCTTCATCCACTACCAGCCCAAGGTCAAGGAAGCGCTGGAAGAGCTGCGTCAGACGGTGGCTGAGAGAAAGGCCAACCCAAAATCGCCGACCGACGGGGGAGCCAAGGGATCAGAAAAGGAAGACCAGGAGGCCGATGTGAAAAACACGGGGCCTACCTACCGCCGTCCCCATGGGAAGGGTCGCCGCCGCCAAACTTCGGCCGAACGCAGGAGACGGAGCAGGTCAGCGAGTGTCACCAGCAGCAGTGGCTCCGAGTCCGGCAGCGGCTCCGAGGCTGATGACGCCGCAGATGCCACCATTCCAGAGGAGCTGTTCTACAGCGAAGAGGCCATCGACCACTTGCAGTGCTACGTCGACTTTGTCGACAAGAACATTATGCATCTTGCCGACTCGTACAAGGGCACGACCAAGCAGCGCATCCGCTATTCCGACCTGGCCTACCTCTTCCACCCAGGCGACGTCGTGTACTCGCCGACGCAGGCCGAGTTTGGCAGCTCCACCAACTACACTGCTGCCAAGCCTTCACCCGCCGTCTACCAGCCCATCTGGAAGATCCAGTACACGAACCCGCCCAGCATCAGCGACTCCAAGTCGGAAGAATACGACAAGAACCACCGCTTCTACATTTCGTGCTTCTACATTGACTTTGACGGCAAGAACTACGGACCCGTCAAGTACCGCTTCGATGTGCAGCCCTACGAAGGTGAATGGGACATCAAGACACTGCCGGTATACCCAATCCGATACCACATCAGCTCAAGCAAAGGCACCAGCAACCAAGGCCCTGACCGTCTGCGGCCCGCCGGAAAAGACTTTCAGACCTACGTCGAGGCCCGTCATCTCTACTACCGCGGGTGGACATTGACTACGAGCCCCAATGGCGACACTTTGACAGACAACGCCGGCGAACTCATGAAGCACCCGGAACACATTGACAGTAGTGTCATTGTCGACTTTAAGGCTGCCCTGCAGGCCCTGCCCAGCTGGAAGCCCACCTTCAAAGACCCGTCGCGCATGGACCAGGAGTGGACGACGTCCTTGGACGATAAAATAGCCATCATCCAGTGGTCTGATTCAAAGCGCACCCGTGTTGTCCGCCGCACAACCGAGATCACCCAGATGCGTGACGGCGCCCACGCCATCGAGACCAACGACTACGCCGACCAAGACCCGTTCCTCGTGGCATACATGGCGGGTAATACTGACACGAGCTACGAGCTGTCAGAGGAGAACTTACAGCTGCTCCCCGGCCGTGTCATGGCTTATGTTCTGCGCGACCGCAAGTTTGTCCAGCTCGACGTGCATTACCTGTCCAAGATCGAGCAACAGTCCAACGTGTTTGAGAACCTCAAGATCGCCCCCCAGCACAAGGAAATGGTCATGGCGCTTGTGGATAGCCACTTCCGCAAAAAGGAGAGCAAAAGCCCGCGCCACTTTAGTCTTGGCCAAGACCTGATCCAAGGCAAGGGCGAGGGCTTGGTGATTCTGCTGCACGGCGTCCCCGGTGTCGGCAAGACCGCTACTGCAGAAGCCGTCGCCCAGTCCAACCAGCAGCCCCTTTTCGTGATTACCTGCGGCGATCTGGGTTTCACGCCCAAGGAGGTCGAGCGGTCTCTCGAAGAGATTTTCCGGTTGGCCCACCTCTGGGACTGCATTTTGTTGCTGGACGAGGCCGACATCTTCTTGGCGGAGCGCACGCGCGACGATCTCAAGCGCAACGCCCTCGTGTCTGTCTTTTTGCGGGTGCTTGAGTACTACAGCGGCATTCTGTTTCTCACCACGAACCGTGTCGGCACCCTTGATGAGGCCTTCAAGTCGCGCATCCACATGAGCCTCTACTACCCGCCCCTCGACCGCCAGCAGACGCTCCAAATCTTTGAAATGAACATTGACCGCATCGAGGAGATTGACCGCAAGAGGCACGAGAGCCGCAAGCGGGACCAGTCGGCCCGCCGCAAGGAAATCCCAAGCCGTTCCAGGTCCGTTGAAAATGGTGGTGCTGGCAGTGACAACGACGACAATGGCCGACACCGCGGACGTGAGGACAAAGACAAGGAAAAGGACACGCACAAAGACGAGCTTGCTCACCACCTCGTGGTCAACCGCGAGAAGGTTATGGAGTTTGCCCGCAACCATTTCGACCGAAACATCTTGGGCCGCTGGAATGGCCGACAGATCCGCAATGCTTTCCAGATCGCGAGCTCCCTGGCGTTTTACGACAAGCGCCAGTCCTGGATCCAGCGCCAAGGTGACCGCAGTGACAACAGCAAAATCGTCCCGGAGCTTGGCGCCGCTGTCCTGAGTGATGAGCAGTTCCTCAAGGTGGCGCGGGCCACGCTGCGGTTCGAAAAGTACATGATCGACGCCCGTGGTGGTGACGACAAGCAAGCGGCCCGCATCGACCGCATCCGTGCTGACGACCACGTCACTGCCGAAGATCCTGACTTTTCATCGTCTGCCTCACAGCGGGAGAGAGAGCGTGACCGTGACCGTGACCGCGACAAGCAGCTGCAGACCCGCCGCCTCGACGATGACTTCCGCGGTAGCTCCTCTACCCGATTTGGCGGCCCTTCCAGCCCGGCCCCACAGACGCCGCAGAGTGGCCGCCGCGGTGGGGTTGGCGACGACTATGACCGACGTCGCCGAGGACCCGACGACCGCAGTTACGATGTCGGCAGCCGGTATGGCGGAGACCGAGATCGCGACTACGACCAAGGCTACGACGGGGATCGAGACTATGACAGAAACCGCCGAGACCGCGACTATAACCAGGGCGGCGGTGGATTTGCTCGAGGTGGAGCGGGCCTGCAGGACTTCCGGCGTCGTAACGGCGGCGAATACGACGGAGGCTTCTCGCCGCGGTCGAACGCCGGATACGACCGCTACCTCGAGCGTGATCGTGAGAGAGACCGGGACCCGTACGATGACCGCGACCGTGACCGAGAACGAGAACGCGCTCGTGACCGGGATCGAGACGACGCGTACTACCGAGACGGCCGTGCACCGCCTTCGTCTGCTCGCTCACGCGGTGGTGGTGGCGGCGACTTTGATAAGCGTGTGCGCAGCCGCAACCGGACACCGACGCGGTCGGAGCGGGATCGTCCAGGCTCCAGCTTCAACGACGGCACACCTACCCAGGCGGACGGCGGTTCAAGCGCCAACACCCGCGGCTCGGCACGGGACGTCAGTCCCGATCGTGACCGCATTACGGACGATGATTACGACATGGCGACAAAACACCACGGCACTGGTGCCTCTTCGTACCAGAGTCCACCGCCGTCAACCGGAACACCGCGTGGTGGTAGCCGGGGTAAATAATGAGACGCCGGCCATTTGACGGCCACTGTCAGTTGCGTCCATGACGAGAAATGTTGAAGGTTAAGAAGGGAGGGGTTGTGCGTGGAAGGTTTATGGAGAATACAATTTGAATACTTGTAGCTTATTATTTCAGTAATAATTTTTGAATTATATACGCATATCTCGATTTTGAGTACGACCAAACACACGGCGGCCTAGTTGATACGTTTTTGTTTTCCAAAAATAGCAGAGTGCGACACAGAAGGGAGGTCAAAGATCAAATGCAATACTCCTACCAGCCGATGGCAATAAAAGTTTCTCTTGCCGAGCCAAGATGGTAAATTATCAGCGGAAGGGCATGTCGAGCCCCTTTTGCCGTCATCACTTGAGCCGGTGTAGATTGCTCTCCTTTTGTGCCTGCTGCTTCTACCGTATTTTCAATTCAAATATGGACAGTTGTCGAGGACAAAATACGACAGAGGTAGAGCATTATCACCTCCAATTGCACTATCACCATCTACAAATTCAAAACGAATCCGAGATCCACGATGAAGGCATCTATCGTCTCTGTTTGTGCAGCCGCAGTAGGCCTCGTCTCAGCGCAGACGCCCGACGGCTTTACGCCAAGCGTGGCTACACATCTCGATGTGACCTTTGGAAGCAAGGCCGTGTCACCCGCGGGCACCAGTCTAGCCAAAGAAGGTGAGACTCTGTCTTCGTTGCAAGGATGATTCTTCTGATGCATTAACGCAATAAGAAACTGCAAAGCTGCCGACGATTGGCTTCGCTGCTGCCAACGCCACGGAGACGTATTTGTTTGTCATGATTGACCTCGACGTGTAAGTACTCTTACGTCCTCTCACCTCTCGCCTCTCTCCTCTTTCCTCTCTACTCGCTCCCGTCGCATTCCCGCTAACCCTATCCAGGCCCTCGGGAACCACTCGCAACACCCTTCTGCACGCCATGATCCAGGACTTCAAGGTCGGCAGTGGCGGCGCCACCACATTGACGTCCGCAGCCACCAGCCCGGCCTCGTACATGGGGCCCGCTCCGCCCAAGGAAAACCCAGCCCACCCGCACCACTATGTCGAGGTGCTGTTTGTGCAGCCGGCCGGGTTTGCCGTGCCGGCGTCGCAGGCGTCTGTCGTGAAGAGCCGGATAGGATTCAAGCTGGCCGACTTTGCGACCGCGGCTCATCTCGGGGAGCCGGTGGCGGCCAACTACTTTATGGTGACGGGGTAAACGGGGAACTTTGACGGCTTTTGTAGGTGCGCCGGCGGTCGCGGCGTACGATAAACTTGAGCAGCCATTATTGCAGACCAACGGTAGCTGGACAAGGAGGTGAAGGCTTAAAATAAATATAAAATTTGAGCAAAGCTGTGTACCTACGGGTGCCGCTGCAAAGCGAGTAGCATGGCGTTGGTCGAATTTTCGAAATACGATATTTCTTTTTCGAAGGCCTCTTCCATCCTTGTTTGCGTCATATTTGCAACAGGTTGTTCAGATATTCCCAGTCCATGGCAAAGTCGTCTGCTTGTAACAGCATCTCGCCCAATCCGGTCCCGGCCGCTGACGATGGATCGAGAAATTCTCTTTGTGTATTTTTCTGTGCCCGAAGTTCGGCGATAAATTCTGGCGTGATAAGAGCTCCCTTCCCCAGACCGAGCCAAGCCTTTTCATGAGCATCAAAAGCCTCCAGCGTCAAGTCCGTAAACGCAGCAACGAACGTGGCTCCCGCCGCCAGTTTTCTGTTCTCCTCTGTGGTTGCATCATTGTTTCTGGGTTCTCTCGTGTGACTAGCATTGTGGTGCATATGCAATAAGTGCGGCTCGTAAGCACTTGTGGCTGCAGCAAGGTCCTCGGCGTACTCTTTGTAGAACAACTCAATCATGCGCCAGGCCGAGTCGATTTTGGCCCGCTCTTCGTCATCATCGTTCTCGCCGCATGTCCGCACCCGCAGCATGCATAGAACATACACTATCGCATCCATCACTACACGCATCACCAAATCGGCAAGCAGCTGAAACGCTGCGAAACCGTTGCCCACACCAGCCACCTGTCGGCATCCAAAGCACATCTCTAGAATGCTCAGAGCATGCTTGAACGTGGCGTCGGCGTTGTATCGTGAGAATTCGGGTATCACAGATACCTGTTCCCCGTTTGCTAATGCAGATGGTGGTTGTGATGGTGGTTGTGCAGCCGACGTCCGCGGGTGGTATGCCTGAAACCGCAGCTGTGCAACAGCCATACGCGCCATGCTCGAGCTCACGGCGTGCAGCGGGATTCGTGGGTCGGCAAACTGATGGCATATGTTCGTGTACAGCTGCTCAAGCTCGTCAATGGCGCAGTTCTTCATGGCTGGCAAAGTCTGAGTGTGGAATAGGTGGCCTGCGGGCGTGGACACCTCTCCCAAATCGCCACTGGTGCTCGAAACAAATTTCTTCTGCGCAAACGTTTGCATCCATGGAGCCGTATGGTACTTGACTCTGACATAGAGCATCTCGGTCGGCCCAGCATGCTCTACTGGCGCACACGTCATGTCCGGGTGCAAGTCTGCGTCGTTCACGTTGAGTGGTAGCCGAAGGTCAACCAAGTCGGTCAGTGGCATGCTGCTGCCAAAGTAGTTGCCTCCCGTCGCAAATCTGCTATGCTTGTTGCTTCCCATCGTACTAATGCTATTAGTGTAGCTAAGACTGACGGCCAGACGCATGCGGGCGTCAATGCCGAGAATCTGCCACCAGAGACGGACGCTCATCTCGCGATCAAAGAATGACAGGGTCCCCGTACCTTCCGGTGTGCTCTTGCTCGTCTCTCGGTGCAGGCCCAGCTTGAGGCCCAGGTGTACAGCTGTGGAAGCCAGGGTGCTGCACAGCTCCGAGTCCGGCTCGGCGAGGATAAACAGCGTAAAGGCGCGAAGGACGTCGAGGCGGCGCGTCGTCAATATACCGGCGGCCACAAGACACTGCATGGCACCCATACGGTATTTTGTCAGAAGTTCCCTCTTGGGCGGGACAGCGTCATCTGATGTTTGTCTCGTCTTTGTAGTTGTAAACATGTCGGCGTACTCGGAAATAGTCATCGATGTCAGGGCCAGCGCATATACAGCAAACATCAACGCACCAGTGGCCGGCGGTGCGTTGGCAGGGTCCCAGCTCGCATCAACAATCTGTTTATGTGTCGTCGGCACGTGTACAATTCGCATGACAGGGTTGACACTGTCGATGAAGGTCTGCCACAGGTGAAGGATCATGCGTGGTTCTGGGTGTGGTACGGGCGCCAGGTTGGAAGTGCCGAAGAGGATGCTTGTCGTGTTCATTTCCAACGGCTGTGGGATTTTTTCGCTGAGTGAACGCTCATTTATGGTTTTCTGGCCAAAGAAGCGCCTAGCAAAGATTTCCGAGACGGGCGGGTTGCGCAGCTCGGGTGGTAACGACCGCCACAGTTCCAGCTCCTCGTCGGCAGCGTCCTCGTGGACCACCGTTGGCCATGTTTTCATCCCCTCTCTGGTATTTGCTAAATCAACGATCGTATCTACCCCAGAAGACGGTGTCTGCGCAATCGATGATGTTGTCGGGTCATTGCCTGCTGCCATTTTAGCCTCCCATGGGGAGGCAATCCATATCCGGTGGTCACTGACGATATCATTGCAGCTTTCACAAGACCCTGGCCGTGGCAATGGCTCGTGAAAGCTTGGAAGCTCTTCTTGTGAAAAAGATTGAGGAGCTGTTATTCCATTCTTTTGTAACAGGTCTTCGTACATCTGTAGTCGGTCCATGAGGTCGTTTGCGAGATTCGATGGGACCGTACGAGCATGTTTGTGTCGGCGCAGCCGCCGTCCTGGAGGTGGCTCAACATATATGCATTCTATTTCCACGTCATGTCCAGATACATCCTTTTTGTTGCGGTTGCGTCTCGCCGTCATACGAGCGTGAGCCACGCAGTTGGAGCATGGCTGTCGTCGGTCGCAACGGATCTTGCGGCGAGCACACTTTCCGCACGCGTTCTTTTGAATGGGCGATTGAGGTGCGTCCATGGCGAACATTCGTAAGGGTGTGAGCCGTACAATATATCAAGTATATGTAAAGAATGTATATATGGAAAAGGAAGTGTGCCATGGCATCGCCTTGGTGTAATGGGATGGCAGGTACGACGGGGTTTCTTATACGAGCGAGAATCTCCAGACTGGGAAACCTCGGGCCCGTACTTTCCAAAATGGGAACAGCGGGCCCGTGATTTTTCGAAGATGACGAACAGCCCTTGAGGTCCCCTGTAGCGAAGGTCACCGTAGTGCTGTTTAGCGGGTTGTTGCATTCGTTCGAAACAAACGCGTTCCGACGACATTCTTTTTCTTTGGTTTACCGTGTTCATTTCTTTATTTAAGACTCGCACCTCCATACACAAAGCTACAAAATAATGTCAAATTCGAAAGCCTCCTTTCTTCCCCCGCCGTCTCCCTTTATGCAGCCGCCTGCACCGAAGCAGTAACCGCCGGCGCCGCCGGTGCCGCCGTCGATGTCGACTCGCCCTTCTCGGCGGCCAGCTTAGCCTGCAACGCGGCAAAGTGGCGGTCCATGGCATTCTGCGTAAACTGCGCACCTGTCACGGCCGGGTACTTTTTGAGTGGGCCCTGGATCACGGCATCTGAGCACGGCTGGTTGAAGAAGGCGATGCTGAAGCGCTCGCCGTAGTAGTCGCCCGGCTCGCAGGGCGCCTTGACGCGGTGGAAGGTCGACTTGAAGCGGTCGTCAGACCAGCTCATCATCAGATCGCCAATGTTGCAGATGATGGTGCCGGGCTCTGGGTCGACGCGTGTCCACGTATCGCCAAGGGCAAACTCGGTGACGGCCTCGCGGCCGGGACAGATCTCAAGGCCCGACTGGCCCTGGCGCTGGAACAACAAGGTCACCAAATCCCAGTCGGCGTGCGCACCGGCGCGGTGGTAGACCTCGTTCGGTGCGGAACCATCGGCGGGAGGCAAGGGGGTCTCAAAATAGTGCAGCATGCGCAGCACGGACTGGCAGTTGGGGCGGCGGGCATCGTGGAAACGGACAAAGTAGTCGTCGGGGAAGCCCAGGCCGCGCGCAAAGCAGAGCATTAGCTTCTCGGACACGGCCTGCAAGCGGTTCATAAACGCGCGGCAGCGCGCCTGGAAACCGGGCAGCTGGTCGTCGCCCAGCCACACACTGCCATCGGCGGTGCCGCGGCCGCCCGTGTCCATATTCTCGCCAAACTGCATCTGGTAGGACTCCTTATTATCGGCGGCGCCCGTGCTGGGTCGGATCTGGTTCTTGTTCTCCCAGCCGACATTCTTGTTGTTCCAGGGCACGGTGGCCTTGACCTCGTTGGGCAACGCGAAGAAAGCCTCGGACGTGTTGAATATGGTGTCGACCTCCTGCTCAGTAATGCCGTGGTCGATGAGCGCAAAGAAACCGACGTTCTCGGCAGCGTCGCAAAGCTCGGCCGTGATCTCGTCAATACGGTTCTCGAAATCGTGAAGGGAGATCTGTAGCCCGGAGGCTAGGTCAGTGATTTTTCTCCCGTAAGTCGACAAGTAATGTCACCTAGACTGGTGAGCTCACCTTGGGCAGAGCCCGGTCGACGTAGGATGTTGCAGCAGTCATTTCGCCGATGGAGTTTGTGCTGTGGTGTAAAATTGACACTGCTTGTTCGTGTTGCCTGCTCAATGACGCGACGTTCTTTCCGTCGTTGACTAGCAAGCAGCTGTGTTCTTAATAAATATGAGTTTACCTTCTCGCTGTTTCGATGATATTCTCATGTTTTGCTCCAACTGTACCTTGGAAAGATTGTCGTATTTCACTGTATTTCGTTTGCCAGCGGTGACATCCGGACCCGGTGCCAGTATCAACCGGTATCAGCCAGTGAATGATAAGATGGTTTCTTATCATATCAAAGACGCATCATTGTGTTGGGTTTAGGAGCACATGGTGCGGGGAGTGCGGCAAAGTCCGATGAACCGAAATGGCTTTTTAGTGGCTCACATCTCGTCTGTTGCGGATTTGGCATGCATTACTGACTTACTGGATCGACGATCTTTTGCCCGATGGACGTTCATACACGTTAAACCATGACATGTCTAACGATATCCCGCATCTCTAGTATCACTGATATTTAACAAGAAAAAGATACTCGGTTGTAATGAGTATATCGGACACTGCCGAGTGCAATAACATTAATTATCTGATACTTTCGGCGAGTTGGTTGTGCTTGACGTTTCCCTTGTTAATTATTGAAAGGCTGGATCGTATGGACTTGAGTTTTCTATTTATTTAATTGAATACAAAAACTTCGAGTTCGTTTAAATGTCTAGTACTGATTAAACCGCATGCTTGGAAAAGGGGGGTCTTAAAAACAATACTGCACATATTTTACGCACAATCTAGTATGCTCAACTAGGTACATTTCTAGCTTGATTAGACTCGAATAAGCCAACATATCCAACCTTTTGCCATTAATCCTTATTCGTCGGGAACGAATACCAACGCAGTCCGAGAAAATTTGTCAATCTTGGATACGGCCGCCTTCTTGGACATGCGTGCAAATAGCTTGTCGTACTCCGGGTAGGCCTGTGCCATGTCAATATTCTGCTCCAGACCCCAAAAGTAGAACACGATGAGATTGAAGTCGACAATGGTCTCGTGGTTGCCGACTGGAAAGTCCCGTCCTTTCAGTCGCTTATCAATAAGATTGTAGCACTCCTTGACATACGAAAGGCCCTTGGCCTTGATCTCGCTGTAATGTGACTCATTGTTGGTAAATCGTGCTGGCCGAAAGAGGGCACCGAAGCCACGGCCATGCAGCGATCCGGAAAGCCATGCCGCCCACCCGAGGACCAAAGATTGTTCGATAAGATTGTCACCCAGGAGACGCTTCTCGGGGACGAGGTTGGCAATGTACGTGAGAATAGCAGGCATTTCGGTGATAGATACTCCGTCGACGAGAAGACAGGGTACATAGCCAAGGTGGTGGATCTTGAGGTACTGCTCGTGGTTGACGGTGCCGTCGGCTGACTCGAAGCCGTTGGCGCCCATGCGCATGTTCACCAGCTTATAGGGGAGGCCCAGGTCCCCAAGAAGGCTGTTGACGACCATGGAGCACGCCTGTGGCGAGTGGTAGAGAGTGAGGCTTGGTACCATGGTGATATTAGTGGTGCCTTGGATTCCATGAATGGTTTTTGAGAGAGTCTTGGAGTATATTTCTGAGTAAATAAACCGATACAGGGTAAAACGAACTACCGTGAGGTCTTTATACCTCCCATCTCTCAACTCCTAAGGGATGCTTGGAGTGATACGTCGCTCTTCGCGTTGCATCTTGCTGGGATTACGGAACTTACGAACGGCATCTTGATTCACAGGGGCACGCTCCACTTGAACACGAGCTTTTATTTCCTTGAGACGCTTGCCAACTTGGGCAACATAAGTCGACGAAAGTGTGACACGTTATCAGTCGGGTCAATAGAGCAGCTGAAGCATGACGGTTATGACAAAACAACAGACGTTGGGTCAACGTCAACGATGAGAGCAAGTCGCGCAAACCTTCCTGATTAGGCAATCCAAGACTTGGCCAAATAAAACCCAGAGAAGTGTTGCACCGCGCCGTTGCGTCTGTCAGACGACGCGGTGGATATCGCGAGCCGGTAAGACGCCGAGAATAGACGCATTTGTTATATTAGACACCTTGTCTTTGTGGTTTGTCTAGCTGCCGGTGCTAGTGAATGTTCTCATGAACGGGCAGGGTGCAGCGTACTGAAGGAGCAATATAGTGTATATAGACGTTATGGCTTATTGTTTTGCTATAATAGGCTACACATACTGTATTGTAATTACATGTAATTCGACCATATTCTAGTATTAAAAACCACGGCACAAAAATTAAGAAATCTACACCGTAAATTTGCAATGGGAACCTTGGAATCCCCCCTCGTCGCCCGTCGGCCGCAGCCACTAGCCCAGCTTATTCTCCTTCGCGCCTACCTCTAATTTCCGCTGCCTGCCACTTTCCTTCGGTGAACATTATTTCTGTCACAAGAGGTAGAAAAAGGCAGCAGCGACAGGCCGACAAACCGCACTCCAGAGTTTGTCGAAAGTGGAGTTGGCTCAGCTTTAGTTAGTCCTTCGCCTATTGCCGTTGTGTAGAGCCGCGATTGGGAGCACAGATCTTAAATTTAAGTTAGCACAAAACGGGAGCTGCAGCTGGCAGAGTTTAGGTGTTTTTGAGGTGCGGGGAGAACCAGGGTTCCTCGACATCGTCTCGCAGAACGTGCGGAAAATCAACACCAACACACGAAGGCAGAACGGCGTACTGCATGTCGACGCTTTCATGTGCCTCGCAATTGACAATACATTTGGTGGTTCTTTTCTCAATTTCTAGTTTGCATTGCCAAGACGAAACTGCAACCCCTTTGACATCATTTCCCACAACAGCAAGAGAACAAGACTGTCACCATGACCTTACCGGAACGAACTGCGAGACTCCTCACAGAGGCCGAGGACAGAGAGGCGCCATCACGGCCGCCGTTTACTTGGGCAGAGACACTTCTCTTCGGCTTCGGTGGCTTCAGCCTCTACGTGGGCAACATCTTGGTGAACTACGGCCAAAAGGTCAAGGACCGGGTTTTTCTGCCAGAGAAGCGCCCCGACATCATCAAGACATACGAGTGCCGGCCGTCGCTTAATGTCCAGTAAGTGACCGCTAAAATACAATATTATGTTTTAATTATCGTACATATGCTGACATGATAGCATCTTCTACCCCCCGCACCATGACCGGACGGCCACCCACCCGCAGCCAAAGATTCCTCTCCTGTTCACCATCCATGGTGGCGGTTTCGTCATTGGCAACCCGCAGGACTCGGATGCCTGGGACTATGACTTTGTGCGGTCCGACCCCAAAGTACCCACGATGGCAGTTGAGCTCAATTATCGTAAAGGTCCCGTCTCACCCTTCCCCACCGCCGTCTACGATCTCGAAGCTCTGGCTCTGGCCGTGCTGGCGGATATGTCGCTGCCCATTGAC